CAGGGATAGTTATTACACTCTGAACTGCTCTTTAGAGAAGGCCTTTGGAATTTACAGGCTTTAAACTATAGAGTGAGAGAGGAAAATTTCCTCAACCTAACAGATTTCAACAAATAAAAGCTGTTTTGCAGGAACAATATTGCACATATTCCTCTATAGCTTTTCTTGTTCAAATAGAAAATATTTCACAATTATATGGTTAATAAAAATACAAGTCTGCCACTAAGCCATAAACCATAATAGATGAATTACCTCAATACAATAAAATAAGCCAATCAAACCACATTATGCCTCTGTACTATGTCGGCTCAGCCTTCTAGTGATTTTGCAATACATTATGAGTCAAACCTAGTTTAATATAATACATGTTGGATTCAGACAAAATCATATTTAAGGCTACTGAAATCAGTATGAATAGCTAATTATGAGTAACTTGAGTGCAATTAATTTAAGCAGGACTATCATATTGCATACAATTCTATTTCATCTACCTGGAAATACGAGGGCAATTCGGAAATAAACCTCCGTTTGGTTATCAATGACACTTGCAGATACAGAACTTGCAGGGCTATGGGGGGGGGGGTTATCAAAAACATCCCAACAGAACTTCTTCAAAAGTTCTTGGGTGCGTCTAGCAATGTGCGGGTGAGCATTATCGTGAACCAACACACCTGAAGTCAGCATGCCCTGACTGACACTTGTTATGGATGGCTCGTCTGAATTTCCGTAATGTTTCACAGTAGATTTCTGAATTGATGGTCGAACCACGCTCCATGAACTTCATTAGCAGTACTCCTTTGGCATCTTCATATTTGGTGGGATTTTCTATGGCACCACTTCCAGTGTGGTATTAGTTCACAATAATGCTCGTCCGCACACCCCTAGACGCACACAAGAACTTTTGAAGCAGTTCTGCCGGGATGTTTTTGATCAAACCCCCCCCCCCCATAGCCCAGATTTGGCGCCAAGCAACTACTAAGGAATTTCAAACTTGGTAAGACATTATGACAAGTGCCTCAATTTGAATGGCGATTATGTCAAAAAATAATGTACTGTTGTAGTTTTCTAATGTGTATAATAAAAGTTCTCTATCTGCGAGTGTCCGTCATTGATAACCAAATGGAGGTTTATTTCTAAATCGCCCTCGTAGCTTTAACTGAACTGAAAGGACTTTATTTCTCAATAAACATTAAAAACTACCCATTATCCAAACACATAATCAAAATAGGCTACCTAAGCTTTTTTTTTTTTTTTTTTTGCCCAGGTACATACAATTCAAGTAAAAGGAAATTAGGTCTTATATTTCATTCCAAGACTCAGGAAGATACTACTTAATCTACTGCAGGCATGTCAGACTCATGATGTTGCACGACGTATCGCGACCTTTTCCCCATTGCCGGCAATGGGGTAGATGCGGTTTCAGTATGATGCATCCAGCCCGTGGACTGGCAGTTTGACATGCCTGATCTACTGCAACAACACACATAGAATATCTCAATTACTCCAAATCACTAACTAATTCTGAATAGTGGAAGTCAGTTATAGTGTGATAGCTTCAAGTCCTCAAGGGGTCTCTATAGAAAATAAGCCATGCTAATTACAACTAGGAACACATGTTGTAAGCCTTCATGTTATCCGCTTAATAACTGTGAAGATTACACTTATAAAATAGGTGTTTCATGTGTCTCTGAATGATGGCTCAGGAAAACAAACAGGAATACATATATTATGTATCTAGTCTCACCTTAGTCACACGTTCATCATCTGTCTCAATGCCTACACTATCAAGAATTTTCTTCAAATCTTTTGAGCTTGGAGATTCATTGCCACCAAGGACAGCAAGAAGGTAAGCTGCAACGTAACGCATTCTGTGAAGAGAAAAGCAAACATTTGTGTATTTGAACAGCAATATATTTCTTAAATCCAGGATAGACTATACACTGTCTCAATTTCCTGAAAAATACATACATTACTCATAATTGTGATTCCATTTATACTTCAAAATTCAACCCGTCATTTCGCATGAAGTGCGAATGATCTAATTGATCCAGTTCAGTCTCCTCTAGGTATGGAAATTAAAAATTAAAGTTTTTTGGGGGAATTTTGTGCAGTAAAGATTCAACATCTTTTGTTAATTCCGATGTCATTACTTTTTATTCTTAAAGAATAACATAGGTGTCTAAAAGAATATTGAACTTAGAAAGTCACTGCTTATTAATAGTATAAAAAACTAGATTAGCTAGAGACCTATCTTCCCAGGTATAAAATAAAAACTGAGCAATGCAAGTTCAAAGGAAGATTGGAAAAGGCAGTACTGATCTGTATTGTCTTCTATCACTATGCTAAATACAATGACTACATTTAAAAATTAGTAGCTGGGGGAAAAGTACGGTATTTGAATCAGTTTAAACTCTGTAAAGAGATTGGTTTTTAAACTGGAAGTTGTTTCTCAAGGTATTTTTGGAAGACTATATCTCTCCCACGCAGAGGAGAAAGTATAGATCCTGATTTATACAAGCTCCCCTTTAGATACTGTTCCCACTTTTTAGAATTCCACAGGCATTTTGTTTTAACTTATTTTTCGAAAAGCGCGTTTTTGATATTCCATTTTCGAGTACAGTATAATCCAGTGGCTTAATCCAAACATTCTTTGTTTTTATTGTATCTTATCTTTTTTATTTCATAGACCACCGTGATTATTCCAATCGGTTCCTCACGCCAATTCGAGAAGCACATGGCCGCCATGTCATCCAGGCCCAAGCTACATTTCTCGGCCTTTCTCCCGTAGACAAACACCCGCAGCGGAAGAAAGCCTGATCCCCACGTCTTGTGAACACCCCACGGCCACCGAGGCGCCGGCTTCCAGCCAGCCGCTACTTACTTCCCCGCGTTGTCCGCGCAAAGGCCAGGCCTCAGACCGCGCGCTCCCTACCACGGCGACAGCCAAAAAGAAAGGGCGGAGCTTACTAAGCAAGGTTCTTCCCTTCTCTGCAACAATCGGCTCTCCCATTGGGCGCAAAAAGCAGCCAATCCGACATCACGTACCTGACCGAGGCTTCGTAGGCGTTCCGCCAATAGAAATGCGAGTCTTCAAACGCCGAGACCGGCGCTACATGGGCGGGGCTTTTCTGAGGATGATACAGTAGTCCCCGAGCGGGGTCTGCTGGTGAAAAGTGAGGGCTTTATATCAGGGCCGAGGAATTCTGGGAGTTGAAGTCCACAAGTCTTCAAGTTGCCAAATTTGGGGACCCCTGCTTTATATAGTTTGAACTGGTGGAAGTGAAATTCTTGACTGCCACTAACCTGAAATGGTCTGAATCTTAAACCTATTAACTTGATAATTGCTTAACTTCCATTATTAATAGACTACAATATATCCTGAATCACAGGCAGCATGTTTTAAAAATTATCAGCTGCCATGTAGGAAAAGTGGCAGAAGCCCTTCTTGACCCTTCTGAGTGCATCTGGTGGATTGCTATAGTAGACCAATGTCTATGGAGATTCTCGATCATCCAGGTCATAAGTTATCCCAAAGATGCTTTTTCACAAGGCAACTGGACTTTCTTGTTTTTCTTTGAAGATATTTCACTTCTCATTCAAGAAGCTTCTTCAGCTCTGGCTGTATGGTGGGGAACAGAAGGATTTATATTCCTTGCAGTACGTAGGATAACATAGGACAGTGATGGCGAACCTTTTAGAGACCGAGTGGGTGGGTGTGGCCCATTGGGTGGGCGTAGCCCATTGGGTGGATGTGGCTGCGGTGGTAACGGCAGACTGGGTGGGACTAAAAAGTTCAATCAATCAATTCCAACTTTGCAAGATCTTTTTTTTTTCCCACAAAAAGTTGAAATTGACTGAGTGACCTTTTTTTTTTTTTTTTGCACACGGCGGCGGAGGCCTAAAGTGAAAAGGTTTTATAAAACCCAGCTGAAGGCCTAGGACTGGAGCGACAGCGCGCGTGTCCACAGAGAGGGCTCTGAGTGCCACCTCTGGCACCTGTGCCATAGGTTCGCCACCACTGACATAGAACATACCCATCAGGACAAGATTCAATAGTCCATCTGCATTTAAAAGACAAAGGCCACTCTTTCGAAGACAGCAAAGTCCACATTTTGGACAGAGAGGACTACTGGTTTGAAATAGGGGTCAAAGAGGCCATCTATGTCAAAACTGAGCAGCGTTCTCTCAACAGAAGGAAAGGGATATGACATCATCTATCTCCAGTCTACAACAGTCCTTTCAGCAATTCCAAGGCTCCACATCCATTTGCACTATTCAGGTGACCCTGAGGACAAGATAAACCTCCAAGTGGCCTCAACAACTTTCTAAAGAATGCAAACGACCAGCTGTCTGAAAGGAGTATAAATCCTTCTATTCCCCACCATTCAGTTAGTGCTGAAGTAGCTTCTTGGATAACTATAGTAGACCACTTTTTGTCTCAACACAAGAGGAAGCTTATGATTCTGTTAAAGATTTTTTGAACTTTGCCTATATTAGAGCAGTCAACCAGAGGCATTTAGAAATTATGGCAATGTTCAGTGCAAAAATATGCAAAATTCCATAAAAGTGTAAAAGAGGCATTTTTTTTTCACAGAAGGATATGGATATCCACAGTCTTTTAAGTGCCCTGATTTGGAAGTAAACTCAAGAAGTTCAGTTTTTACTTTTGAATAGAGGGTAAAATTGAGCAAAGAAAATCCACATCCTTTTATGACTTATTTACAACAGTGACTTCCTGGTTGTGAGAAAATAGTTTTAGTCAAAAAGTTCAGATTATTTATATCATATTAAAGAGTGTGCGGTTGTAGTGAGTTTCTTTTTTATGTTTGATGTTTTTTATTCTTTAAAGTTTCCAGAATCCTTAGGACTTAATTTAATAACAATAAATCTGAAATCCTCTTTGACACACAAATTGCAACATAATTAACCCGTCATTGCTGAGCCTGGAAAAGCGAAGGTATCCTATTCTCACACCAGCGGAAGGTTTGTTGGCAAAGAGCAGATGATTGGAGAGTTCACTTAACCAGATCCTTGGCATGCAAGCTGCTTCCTCTTTGCGTTAAAACGCAGTAACCCTTAGTTTGCCTGGGTGAGAAAACTTGTGAATGCACGGAAGGAACGGGAGCAGCTCTTCCTTTAACAAAAAAAGTCCCGATTCTTGGAAAAAATGAGGCTTCTGTCCTCAGCGATGTGCAAACGTCAGACGATCGATCGCAGCAGTTCCGCACTCTGAGCGCGCGTATTTTCCTCCACAAAAGTAGCGTGGCTTCTTTTTAGCAACGGCGGGAAGTATGAAAGTTACGAAATGACCTCAACAGAACAACAAAATGATCTTGCTGGGTAAGACTTTTTTTTTTTTTTTGCCAATAGTAATTGAGGAATGGGATTGTTCAGTCGGAGGGACTGCTAACCCGAATGGAAATTTCTGTTAAAGCCTCTTCTCTATTATGGGACTGGACCTTAGTGGACGCCCTTCACCATACTTCTTTTTCCGGGCAATTTTTCTTCTTGCTTCCTGCAAACTTCCTCCAAAGCTGCTTGGTTGCTTCCCCCCCCCCGTCCCTCATCAGAACGTTATGACAAAATCAGTTAATAAAATCTAGTTGCTTCGCCTTAAGGTAAAACAAATCAAAAGCATAAATATGAATCTATTGCAAGGTACCTTACATGCCAGCTATTCTCTTCTCAAAATCGGAACCCATTCTGGAACAAACGCCTGGAAATGCTCAGGCTAGCAGCTCTCGCGATTATGATTTTTTTTTTCAAAGTTGCATTTTACAAGAACTAAAATATATTTCAGAGATAACACTAAATGATTGAATCTAAACGCTTCTAAAGACACAGAGAAAGTAACCATGCTGCCTCCTGATCTTTGCTTCCTCTGCCCACAGTGTTGCCTTTCACCCCTTCTATTAATCTCTTCAGAGAATCTCACCAAGGGAAAGCTGCCTTGTCTTACTTAGACCCTTCTAGTTTTGGCTCTGATCGTAGATACATTATGCTTTCCTGAACTCCCAACTTCCTGATGCTGGCCTGTTCTTGTATTCCCAGTGAGTCTGAGGGCACCAGGCTCAGAAAGGATGCCAAAATAAAAGGCAGGAAGTATATTTAGGTAAGCAAAGCTTATAAATGAATAAGCAAGAACTTGTAAACGGGATCTTGGATTTTGTTGTTTTGTTGTTGTTCCTCCAATGAAGTTTTGACTCCTGGCAACTGTCTGGACAAGTCCCTGGAGTTTTCTTGACAAGATTTTTCAGAAATGGCTTACCCATTGCCTGGTTCCTAGAGCTGAGAGAGAGTGACTGGGCCAAGATTACCCAGTTGGCTTCGTGGCTAAGATAGGACTAGAACTCACAATCTCATGGGGTCTATGCTGGTACATTAAACTGGCTCTTTTAACTAGGCATGCTAATTTGAAATTCATTCATAAATGAGGCTTTGGGGCTTACTGTTTAATGAAAAAAGAAACTAATGCTTGGCAAAGGAAATAATAAATCATATACAAAAGGAATTGGGGCTTCAGTGATGTGCAAACTTGAGATACATCACAACAAAGACTTGTTGTTCAGTAAATATACGCTGTATTACAGGTAGTCCTTGACTTACAATCATTTATTTAGCAACCGTTCAAAGTTACAATGGCACTGAAAAAAGTGACTCGGAATCAGTTCAAATACTTCCAACATGGCAGCTTCCTCATGGTCACATGATTAAAATTCCCAGTGCTTGGCAGCCAGCGTATACATATAACAGTTGCAGCGTCCAAAATCATCCCTTCCAACTGTTCCAGCCAGCTTCCAACAAGCAGTCAATGGGGAAGTTGGATTCGCTTAATAATCACATTATTTCTTAATTATAGCGATTTACTTAACAATTGTGGCAAAAAAGATAAAATAGGTCACAATTAATTTTACAATCGCTTTGCTTAGCAATGGAAATGCTGGTCCCAGTTGTGATCATAAGTCAAGGGCTACCTGTTGAGTCCTCGGATTAATGGTGAATGAATACAGGACATCCTGTGGTTCCAACAGCTCTTTTATTGAAGTCTTTTCCACTCCGTCACAGCTTTGAGGCTCGCAGGCCTCTCAGACTTCTTTTAACAACGTCCCCGGGCAGAATGGCAACAATTAGGCGCGCTCCGCGCCTTGCGCATGTGCGCGAAGCCGGCGCCAGCCAGTCTGGTCCCGGGCAGCTTGCAACTGCCCAGGACCATTGCAACGTCCTGAGCCTGCCTTTGCAGGCTCAGGACACAACACTACCTGTATATGCCTTTTTTTTTTTATTCCTAGCATTTTCACACAAGTTCAGATTCCATCTTTTTAGGATCAAATTAGCACTGATCTATTGGTTACAACAGGAATTAACCCTCCGGCTTATTGTCTGAGCCTGACATCATGGCCTGAGATAGAGTGGCCCAAAGTCGCCCAACTGGCTTTCATGGCTAGGACAGTATGGAACCTATAGTCTCCTGGTTTCTAGCCTGCTGCTTTAACCACTAGACCAAATGGCCTCTATAGTATGCAATACAATGTGCAATATAATGTAATTGTATTAATTGCTGGATTCATCTTGGCACTGTTTGGTGACAAGATGATTCTTTGCCGGGCCGTGGCTTGCTGGCCACCAGGCCACGGAACAAGCTGGCTACTGCATGCACAGGTGTGTGCGCACTCACGCCCACTCTCTCTAGTGCCACCGCCGCTGCGCAAACGGGGCACCGTGTGGCAAAAACAGGACACCACGTGGTGAAAACAGGGCAGTGCTAGTAAGTGTCATGCTCGCAGCACTGTTTGTGTGCGCGCGCATGCGCACATAAAATGCTTCCCCCTCCCTTTGCCTCCAGTCCGCCAACAAAGAAAGGTTGGAGACCTCTGCTCTAAAATGTGATAAAAGACAGCACAGCTGCCATATGCTTCATAATTGGGATAGAAATCATGCTAATAAGAGAAAAACTGCACCTAACCTTTTAGAAAATGTTTCTTATAGCTAATTGCCCTATCATTTCATCATCTGTTCAAGAAGATCATTTTTACAAGATTTGACTGTGCAAGATTTCACTGTATTAGGAAGACTTTACTTAAAGCATGGAAGCTTGAAGTATCTCTTCAGTGACATCGTGCTCAGGTGCGATCTCTGTAGCTTTCTTCACCAGACTAATTGTGCAGTTCTATAATTTCCTAAACTGTTTTCATGTTCTTCCCATCTCTTCTCCCCAGAGGCTGCCCCATTCTTCCATCTTTAATGATTCGTAGTACCATTGGCAAGTCAGAACATGCACAGCCCATGGTGATATAAGACCAGAAGATGGCAGGACTGCCAGAGCCCAGGGATCTTCCAGGGGAGGGCACTTTGGAGGCTGTTTCCTATTTGGCTGGCAACCGACTGAACCTAGACGTCTATCCTGAGAGCTGCTGCTTGTTCCTCAAGCTTCTGGACAGCAGGAGAGAAGAAGTTGAACAGGTGGAGTTCTTGAGGCTGAACTGCAATGAGGACCTTATCACTTCCACCTTGAGCAGCCTTCCTGCTTTGAGGGGCTTGAAATCTCTTGTGCTCAAAGGTAATGGCATGTTTATTTGGCCACTTTGTTCAATTGCTTCTAATGTGCTCTTTCACAGTTTCTTCTTCTGCCCTGATGGTTTGGTTCATTTTCTTGTAGCTTCTAGGAATGGTCTTGGACCAGTTCCTTCACAAAGTTATGTGGCAAGAGGCATGTGCATGTGTTTAGATGTTGTTCACATTCCTTAAAAGTGGCTTAACTTGCAGATAATGATGTGAAAGCTTCTAGCCTTAGTGTTCTTCATTGGGCAACACCCACCCACCCACCCACCCACCCACACACACAATTTCCTGCTAGATTTTTTTTGGGGGGGCTGGCATGGATTACCACTGCAATGATGGAGGGTTCTCTGTTAGACGGTTGCAATTTGTGATAGCATTCCTGTCAAACCCAGATATTTTCACAACTGAGAGCATGCAAAAAAAATACGAAATCAATAGAGCTGATTCCTCTGGCTTCTGTCCTCCCAAAGTTTATATGAATCTTGATTTCATAATCATGCAGCATAGTCAACTCATTTTAATAATTGTGTAAAATTTCTAAACTGTTGTGGAAGATATTTTTTCACATCTTTCATCTTTTTTTACAATTTTCATTGCATAAAACCAGCAATATTTTCTGTAATGTTGCTCAGCATTTGGAGGGGTATATATGTTTGTAAAAGCACAGTAGATAATGTTTGATGCTGTCCTTTAAGCACAATGTGTCTTACTTAATTCCCCTCCCCCTTTCATTTGTGCAGAGGAGATTTCAATATTTAATTAAGTCTAAAATCTTTATCCTATTTTCTCTAAAGGATAGCTGTGGCAATCATTAGATCTTAAGTCTGAATGTGTAATCAGAGAACTACACTCTTATTTCTGCATAGATTATGTTCAAGTTAAATCTGCAAATGTAGAATTCTATTAAAGTCAGTGTCATACAACTCAGTCATATATATGAATGTGAGCCTAATATTTTTGCCTACTGTGTAAATGAATAGCTAAAAAACAACCCCTTAGAAATATCATTGTTATTAATATACTTATTAATAATGGTGAGTTAATGCTGAATATAAATCAGATAGTTCCCTATTCTCAATTGCAGCTTCCCAGTTTAGTAATTTGTATCGTTAGAGAGCTATTGGAGGTGGACCAAGACGCCCAAACAATGGTTCTATGTGCCCTTTCTGGTGTTCAAGGAGAATTTAACCATCTCTGTCTTGGCCTTTTTATTACCAATGTACCCTGAAAGAAGCAGGAGAACCTTGCCAAATATTCACTCACTACAGTTGTATCATATTGTTGTATGCATTCTTTAGCTTCCTGGGCATTCCTTAAGTTTCATTCTGTATTGCAAATTATTTCAAGTAAAAACCATGTCTGTAGGAAGTTGCTGTGGTGCAAACCTTTTTTTTTTTTTTTTACTTTTTCAGGTGGACATTCTAGAGATGACATTGGTGCATGTCAGAGAGGATTGCTAGCATCTTTGCCACAAGAGTTTGGGCAGCTACAATGCCTTGCTCATCTAGATCTCAGCTTCAACAGCTTCACCGTTTTACCTCCCTCCATTACTAAGCTGACCAACCTCAGTTTTCTCTCAGTCAACCACAACAACTTGAAGAGGCTGTCTGAGGACTTTGGCCAGCTTGCCAAGCTGACTTTTTTCTCTGCCATGAAGAACCAGCTCAAAGATTTGCCACAGAGCATTGGGGGGCTGGCAGCATTGCAGACACTGAACCTCTCTGAAAATGCACTGGAATCCCTCCCTGAAGAGATTGGGAACTTGCACAGCTGCACTGAGCTTGACCTCTCTGGAAATGAATTAACAGGAATACCCAGTTCTCTTGGTAAGGTGTTTACAATTTTTTTTTTAAAAAAAAGATATGGATTCCTTATTCTACTTTCTGGGAATAAGAAGTGCCCCAGGTTAGGAAAAAACACTGACTGAGGATATTGTGAAGCTTTAACCTGTGGGTAGAAAACTGCAAGAAAACAAGTTCAGAGAACATCTTCATAGTTCTTTATAATTGATGCGGCGGTATGAATGTAAAACTAAGTAATCAAGAACACAGTGGTTGGTTGGTTGGTTGTTTTGTATCTTTAACAACTAGATTGGGATAGGTTGGCATAAGACTCCTGGTGTTTTCTAAAGGGATTTGTAACTTGTAGAGTTTAAGAGAAGTAGGTATATGTATGTATTTATTTGGTTTTACCACAGCTAGCTTTTCTTTCAATTTTTAATCTGCGTTGTGACCTGCAGCCAATTTACAGTCTCTGCAGCAGCTGCATCTTCACAGCAATCTTTTGACAACTGTTCCTGCCTCCCTTGCCTGCCTACCCCACTTGTCCAGACTTGATCTGCAGAATAATAGGCTTCGAAGCATCCCTCCAGAGATCCAGAATTTTCCTTTTGTGCATCTCCGAGGCAATCCTCTAGGAGAACTGGAGGTGCCTCTGCAATCAGGTAATTGCTTTTTTCTGCTTGATTTGCCTACTGAACAGCTGTTCTCTGGCACTTTCATCTCATCCTGGGGAGAGAGCATCTGATCAACTATTTTGGCTGCCACAAAATGTTGTTGTTGTTAAATGCAGTCCCCAAACTGAAGACATGGTCATTCGTCATACAAAATATATAATAGGAAGGCATAATTGGAAAAATCACCTGAATTTCTTGTTGGTTATTTGTTATTTGTTCCATTTTTTTTCCAGCTGCCTAGTCAAAATAATTGTTTGGAAGATATACAGCACTTAAATAAAACTAACTATAATCCATAATCCCTCTAAACAGAAAGATAAAAAAACCCCAAGAAAGTGGAAAACAGTTTTAACAAACAGAAAACAATTCCAAAGCAAGCTGAAAATTAAACATCCCAGGGCTGAAAGGCAATAGAAAAAAGATTAACAGGGCTAAATAACTGCTGAAGCTACAATACATGAAAGACTTTAATTTTTTCAAATTAAAAGAGTAAAGGTTTTTGAAATGTCTAGGGAATAATAGCAAGTCATTTATACTATGTCAGAAGAGCAGAAGAGTTTTATAATAGGTTAGTTGAGGAGGATATGTTCAGTTGGATAACTACTATAGAAAAGGTCCTTTTTCATGTGACTCCCTTTCACGTCTCAGATGCAGCTATGCTTATAAAAAAAAGTTGCATCACAGGCATCAGTTATAACATACTTATTATTTGTCATTTCTTTATTCATTTCTGTTCTTCCTTCTGGGAGCTCAAAGTGGCTCACGTGAAACTCTCTCCTTATGTTCTTCCACAGCAATAAAGAGAGATTAGGACATGGACAGGTCTACCTAGATCAGTGGTGGCGAACCTATGGCACGGGTGCCAGAGGTGGCACTCAGAGCCTTCTCTGTGGGCACACGTGCTGTCACCCCAGTCCTAGACCTTCAGCTGGGTTTTATAAAACCTTTTTGCTTTAGGCCTCCGCCGCCGTGTGCAAAAAAAAAAAAAAAAAGGTTCAATTAGTCAATTTCTTGCGGGAAAAAAAAAGATCTTGCAAAGTTGGAATTGATTGATTGAACTTTTTAGTCCCATCCAGTCTGCCGTTACCATGGCAGCCACACCCACCCAGTGGGCCACGCCCACCCAATGGGCCATACCCAGCCAATGGGCCACACCCACCCAACAATGCATGTGGGTTTTGGGTTGCAGTTTGGGCACTCAGTCTCTAAAAGGTTCGCCATCACTGCCCTAGATTATACTCTGCTTCTCAACCACAGACTAAAGCAGGGATCTTCAAACTCAGCCCTTTTATGACTTGTGGACTTCAACTCCCAGAATCGAAGTCCACAAGTCATAAATGGGCCAAGTTTGAAGACCCCTGGACTAAAGGAAGTCTTTTTGTTTTCTTGCAGATGACTCTAGTTCAGAAGAATTGCAGAGAGTGCATCTTAAAGCTGATGAAGACAGGTATTTCACGTGGTGTTTAGCTGATATCTTGGTCAAGTGTCCTCCTAACTCCCCACTGATTTAGCCTACTTAGGCATCCAATACAAGCCATAATAACATAACAAATAATGCAAATTGCAGTCTTGCCATTTAAGCTATGACATTTGTGTGTTTTGTGATATAACGTCTTCCCAAAGATACCCCTGATAGCATCCATATTGTACCCAACGTTTTTCTTAACCAATCTCATTCATTCAAAAATGATTTTCTCAGTATTTAAATTCTCAGCTCATTCAAATTTTGTTTTTGAAGACTAAATAATTGCACAACAACTACTAATGGTTGAGCTTGTGCAATGAAACTAGGCATAGCTTACAAAGTGCCATCCCTGGGCAATTGCCATGATGTTAGCTGCCTAGCAGGATCTCCTCAAGTTTAAAATTTGCATTCATGTGGGAAGGAAGAGTGGGAACATCTGAGGAGGGAGTAAAAGAGTGTCATCTTATTTTCCTATCTCAACTAATACATGGAGCATAGAAATTGTGTGTGGGTGTATATTTTTCTTGTTGTTGTTATTGTTGCTTGTCCAGAAAGCTATGCATATTTCCTGAAGATTTAAGGCAGTGGTGGCGAACCTATGGCACGCGTGCCAGAGGCGGCACTCAGCGCCCTCTCTGTGGGCACGCATGCCATGCCCCGGAAATGCCAACCGTCCCTCTTCAACCAGCCGCCCGCTAACTCAGCGAGGTTTCACATGGCTGGATGCATCCCAGCATGGCTGGTTTTCTTCCCCCCCTGTCCCATCCCTCCTGGCCTCACATGGTCTCCTTTTCCCAGGCACGACCCACTGAATCTCTTCCTCAACTGTCAGCTGGCCGTCCAGCTCAGAGGCGGCTTCTCTGAACTGCTGGCGGTGGGCTGTGGAGCCCCAGAATGTGCCGGTCGGGCTGGCAAGCTGTGGCTGCTGACGGACACTGTTGGCCCCCATGCGCTCACTGGCCTCTGTGTGCGGGGGGCCAATGGTGTCAGGCAGCAGCCACCCCGGCCCCTGCCTCGCCTTGCCCTGTGGCAATGGCATCTCTGCCCTGCCTCACCTTGCCTCACCCCAGAGGACGAGCCTCCGCTCCACCTGGCAGAGACCCCCTGGTTCTCCTCCAACCCTGCCCAGCCCCCACAGGCATCCCTCCTCACAAACAACATTGAGGTGACCACGCCCACCTTGGCCACACCCACCCAGTCTGCCATGACCAGTCACACCCACCCAGTGGGCCATGTCCACCTGGCACCCGGCGATAAATAAGTGGGTTTTGGGTCGTAGTTTGGGCACTCGGTCTCTAAAAGGTTCGCCACCACTGATTTAGAGAGAAAGAAATTATAACTAAAATTCCAGCTCATTTTTTGCAATCTTGGTACATTCTTTGATCATGATTGCAGGAACTGGCAACACAGTGGTCTACCCTGTTTAACCCGTAGCCTTAAAAAAAAAACCCTAAATTCCAGATGAAGCAAAGACAAAGAGGTTGGAATCCAGCATCCTATGATCCACAACCAAATGTGAAGCATTGTTGTGGTTTATGGAAGTAGTAATCCATCCACAATCATTTTTTATTTCAACTCTTCCATCTCAGCAAGAATGGAGATTATAAAGACATTTTGTTTCTTTTTGCACTTTCAAAGCTTTACCGTGACTCCTGAAGGCTGCCACATTTTCTTGGCTTGTGGCGTTCAACTCCGTTTCCCACGGGGTGCTACAACTATTCTAGTAACTATTCACTTCCAGAAATGCTCCCCTGACCCTCTTTGGGTGAAGCTGAAGCACCATGACGTCCTGCTAAGTGAAGTCCTGGAACTGCAGCCCCATGGGATTCATTTCCAGCAGGTAAGCTCAGATGAAGGTTTAAAAGATATTACGCTGGAACTTTATAAATTATCTTGTTCATGTTAGTCTGCAGATTTACAGTTTGCAGACTAACATGAACAAGAAGGAAAAAAATATGCAGAGCATGGCTTCTGGAACTCTTTACAATCGTTATTTTCTTCTGTGTGACTAAGTAATACGTTTGCCTTCTCTGGGTGTGATTCTGCTATTTCCTCTGATTGAGTGTGTATGTGTGCACTAGGAAGCGGAAAACAGGCTATATGCCTAGACTTCACTTGGGACAACCAGCAGCATTTTGAGCTATTGCCCATCTTCCTCTCCTTCTAAAATGATTTTTCTTCTCCATGATCCCTGGATGGCTTTAGTCATTTTCAAGCTCAATTTTTCTTAGGCAGAAAAATATACAGGGTTCTGAGGATCTGTACATCCTTTATTTCCATTGGGTTGTTGCACTGGGTTGCGGTGAATTAGTTGCTTGTTAAATAGGCTAATGCAGGAGTAGGCAACCTCGGCTCTTTTATGACTCATGCTTCAACTCCCAGAATTCCTGAGTCAGCTATAAAGTCCATGAGTCACAAAAAAGCTGACGTTGCCTACCCCTGGGCTAATGAGCTGGATCATCTGATGGGCTCTTACTGAATTTTGAGTTTACAATAATATGGCTTTTCCCTCTCCCCCTCCCCACCACTTAGACACTAATCCAGATTAGAGACCTGGAATTTAGGAAATTAAGGGGAAAATGTTGTGGAATAAGTGCAGGCTGTCTGACTTTTGCTCAATGTCCCAGGAATTCTCCATCAGTTATGCAAAGGCTAATTGTAGTAATAAAAGAAATTATTTCCTAATTCAGAGAGAATTGGTTAGGACAGAGTTGAAACTAGGCTTCTCCCATTTTAGAAAATCTACCAAAAATATATTCTCTTGGGTATATATGGAATGATTAAGCACATGGATGCCTGCAAACAAAATATTATGAAATTACTGGGAGTTCCCAAAATTACTATAAGTTACAAAATGCTATCATATCACTAGAACATGTAGTCAATTGTCTAGAATGAAATATCCCTGTTAAATATCCCTGTTTCTTTGCTAACTCCCTAAATCTTGGCAATGACATTCCGTGCCAGGCTGTGATATACACTGAGCAGATGGTGCTGCCTGACTTGGTTGCGTGGGCATCCATGTTAGGGAGAAGAGGGCCAAATGATGACCTGCCTGTGCCAATATCATGCATGCCATAACCAGAATGCAAATTTATAATTACAGTCTTTGTGTGATAATATCATTGTACACATGCTATCATTTTGAGAGATTGTGGATGCTGCTGTTTGCAGCATCAACTTGATGAACAAGTTATGGGTGGAAAAGGATATTCATTCCTTTTCCATTTAGTATGAGGTATAAATCCTTTTGAAGCATCATCTGTGAGAATCTGTAACTTTTATATATGGACAACTGCACTTTTGATGCCATAGTATGCTGACTTCCATATGTTCACATCCCATTTCCTATACCGCCTTATTAGTATCCCTTTTTCTGCTCCCTGAAGTGAGTCTTTCTCTTGCTCCAGATATTGCAGAGTTTGAGTAAGGTTGTCTCTCTGGGGTGAACTTATGGACACCCTCTCTTCTATCTTGGCATGCTAGGAGGTGCGGATCTGGATGCCCTATGCTTCTCCTCACAGCCTGAATGACCGTGAGCTCATAATTCGAACCTTTGATGGGCAGAACTGGAGTGATTTGAGAACAAAAGTGAAAGACAAAGGCAAGGTATGGTGAGAATGGTTCTAATACCCGTTTCTTCACTTGTTGTTTCTTCCTTGTGTCAAATGAGTGCCCCTCATTTGAGTTCCTGCAGGAACTTGACACATAAATTCTGTCTGATATGAATGATCTCTTACAGTTTAGAACAGCTTCTCAATCTCAGCAATTTTAAGAAGTGTGGACTTCAACTCCAAGAATTAGGGACCCCCCGACTCCATTGGCTGTGGCATTCCAGTCTGCAGTCTGTCTTGTGCCCTGGGAGTTGCATTCTGGGAGTTGAAATCCACACTTTTTAAAGTTGCTGAGGTTGAAATACACTGGTTTAGAAATTATCAAGCTCTTTGGTTAGCTTTTAAAGAAACATTCAGCATATCTGATTTCTGTGGACTAGTTCAGATATAAACTCTTTGAAGAAACATGAACCCCCTCATGTGCTGGGAGACAGAGGCCCTATTTTTTATTATATAAAGCTGATAAATAAGTAATGCCATTCATCCTAAGAGCACCAAGTTGAGGAAATCAAGCATGAGCCCTTTGTCCTTCTACTTAACCTACTACGACTTATATGTTACTGAGCATCTTAACATTTCCTCTTACAGTAAAAAGGATAAAATACAAAAACAAAATAATAGCATAACTAATGAAGAAACGTAGGCTACTGAGAACTAAATCAGACACAACTCAAGTTACACTAGGTCCCCTCCCAGAGTCTTCTTTAAAAGCCAGATTTTAAAAGCTGTCCTAAAACAGCCAGCTGGGGGCTAGCCTAACCTCGCTAGTAAGCCTTGAGTTATGATCTGCTAGGGTAGTGAGTTGGTGTCCGTTTCTTTCAAGTACTTCCGTATGTCCTGAAGGTTCTATTCATTCTTCCACATTCTTGGACAGAAGCGTTCGGCTTGCTGCAGCATCTCTCACTTCTCCTGGTTTTTGGTGGTCTCACGCCTTGTGGAGAACAAATGCAAAGTCTCTCAGGAAGGGGGCTTGCTTTTTTCAACTGTTGATCCCAACATTAAAGTGACCTTTCCTCCTGGTGTGACCGAGGAGACGAGGACAGTGAAGCTTCAGGTAAGGAAGAAGCCGCCCACCCAACCCATCCAAACAAATACAGATAAACATTGACTCTGAGTAATCCAGACTTCCAGTAAAAAAAAAAGATCGAAAATCACCTGGTTCAAGTCACGCAATTTGGATCATGTGAATTTAAAGCTATAAAGTTAAAAAAAAAAACAACCAGGTCCTGAAATATTTGTTTAATCTCATGTTTGACTTTTATAGCCAGCCCTCAATTTTTTTTTTTCTTAGTTAACTCACATTGGTAATTTGTAAAATCTCATTAGGGATGTTGTTTAATTTCAGCCAGGGAGGATGGTGAGACTGCAAATAATCAGAGCCTGATTGCACTCTGCAATTCTGTGCATATAGTTTTCAGTTTTAATATTTTTACGGAGAACAGTATATGAGAAAAGTGGGTATTCAGTTTTTTTTTTAAAAGGGTTCTAGTTTTCAGATCTGCACAGCCAAAAGAGAGATAAAGTTCAGGTTTACAATAAGTGCCTCCAGTGCTTGTTCAGGGCATGCCATTTTTCCAGAGTCTCTGATTCATTCACCTTCTCCATCTGTTGCTGCCACATATTATTTCTTCTTCTTGACGTTCATCTCTAAGACAAAAGATTAGCTTACATAAAATGTGTGCTTGTTTGTGCGTATCACATTCAGAATAAAGCATACTATTTGCATGCATTTTGTAGAACAACAGTTTGGGTCCTTTGCAAGATTTAAATTTGGGTGGAGCGGTATTTGCTGTTGCTTTTTTTAAACGAGTCTCTGAGTCGCCTGAACAGTGTTTCAGTTTCTGAGTAGTCTGTCAGAAATGAAAGGTGCTAGCCATGCTTAATTTTAATACCATAAATATTTTTTTAAAAAGTTTCAAAGGCTACCACTTCTTCCCATTCAGAAAAAATATTGACCCAGACAACCTTTCTCTGCTTGAGAGGATATTTTCTTGTCTGAAGTTTAGGAACACTCAAGATTTACAACAAATCAAGGAATTGCTGAGCTGTCTCAGCTTTTACTTCTCTGAGGCAGATTTGAGAATAACTGGGAAGTCTGACCCAAGAGCCCCCACAAGGATCAAATTGAGGGCTGAACCTGTGGCCAGAATCCAAGAGCTTCCTGTTTATTTTTTTCCAAGGGTATCCCTTAAATTCTGTCAGATTCCTCTCCAGCAAGTCTCTTTTGGTTGTGGGAAGAGGCCTTGAGAGATTCTTCATGCATGGAAGCCCACACACTCTTGAATAGGCCCAAATATCCCTTTCTTTTTTCTTTTACTTTCAGGTGCTTCCTGTATCAACAAAGGAGCTAAGAGAGATTACTGGTGATACTGAAACAATTGCCAGCCCTCTCCTCTGCCTCTCTCAGAGTTCCACTGTGGATTTTCTTCAGCCTGTTAAAATTCAGCTTCCGCTGCCTCCTGGTGTCACAGGTTAGTTTCCCAGGTTTTTTTGGTTTTTTTAAAATGTTTTCATGGGATGGGAATATTTCTTTGAAACATGCAGCTCCCTGAATTTCAAGAGCAGTTCAATGCCTTGATACAGTTAAATGCGATTTCGAGACCATTTATCTTCTGCGGAGGAAATTAGGTTAAGTTCTTAAGGATAGGCATTGCAAAAGTTTAGGGCAGTTTAGCTCTATCTTGCGGAACATTCATTGTTTACATATGGTCAAACTGTCATAGTCCTTTCCAAATCTATCCCATCAGTGACATAAGCCAACCTCCATCCCCTCTGATGCAATTATAAACTGAAAAGAGTTCAACCTTTAGGTTTATGGCTAACACCTTTTCATTTTTTTCTCAGGTCTAACTTTGGATCGTTCCAGAGTACATTTGTTGCACAGTGACTGGGCTGCTCAGAACTGGAGTGACATCACTGATCAAGTGATACTGGAGTTCACCCACCTCTATGCCTTATTTGAAGTAACGCACTTCTCTTGGTTAGTGGGCCAGAGATCATAATCTTAACTTCGGTAGCATTTAAGTGGTTGTGGACTCTGTGGCTAGGCATCATTTGGGCCAGCGGTTTTCTTTCTATGGTAAGCAGCAAATGTTCTCAGCTGGCCTTTACATCATATTTACAACAGAATTGATGTGCATTTGGAGCATTTTACTTGACCATAAGAGCTGAAGCCCTGCTCGTACAGTTGTTTCCAAAACAATTTGGACAGCCATTTGTCTGACATGGTATAGAGCAGGTGTCCCCAACCCCCGGTCTGTGGACCAGTACCAGGCCATGGCATGTCAGCAACCGGGCCACACAAACAAGCAAAGCCCCATCCATGGGATGCAGGCAGCACACAAAATCACACACTCTCCGGTCCATGGAAAAACCTTTCTCCACGGAACCGGTCCCTGGTGCCCAAAAGATTGAGGACCACTGGTATAGAGTCTCCTACATGAGCTGGGTGTTCGACTAGAAGACCTCCAAGGTCCCTCCAATTCTGTTATTCTGTTAAGTCCCACATTTTGCCGAGATTGCTTCTTCTTTAGAATGCTTCAAAAGTCAGGGGATGGTGAATACCAAGCAATCCAGATACAGGGGCCTTCCTTATGCAGGGCCTCATTATCTGCAGTTGCTAAGCAGAGACCAGACCTCAATATAAATATAAAGGTTTTTCCATATCTGAAATTTAGACTTTGTTTTTGTTATTTTATGCGTGTAATGGTACATGGTATTTGGTGTATGTGTAATGTACACTTTAAAAATGTAGCGTAGCTGCTGTATATTTGTTCCTCCTCCTGTGCCACATTTTACTGAGTCAGCTAGGCTTCATATGGCTTTTCATAGCAGCTAACTTTCTCTGACTTGCTTAGCTATGATGGAGGGAATCAACCAATGTGCACCCACGTGGCTCAAGCTGACTTCTCTGCTGCTCAGAGTCAGAGTCTCTTGATCCTGCTATTGAATACTCACATGGACTCCAGAATTGTCCACTTCCTGCTCACTGGAGCAGCACCAGCTATGGTTGCCAGCACTGTGGCTGGAAGCTTTGTGGAGATACATTTCTCCAGTTGTGGTGAGATGTGAACACTCTGCAGGTAATACTGGTATCCAGTGGTAGCGTGATCAAGGGACACATCCACTGACATCATAAAAGAACTGTGCAAACTGGAAAAGCCAATATGAGCCACGTGGCACAAGTGAGACAATTCCCTCCATCACCTACCATGACAAGTGGGGTAAAGATGAAGGAAGAGAGCTGCCACAAGGAAACCAGTGGGAAAAAGGAGAAGGATAAATAAATACAGGTATGTTGCACAGACAGTTTCTTTGGAGGTAGAGAACACTTATAAATTCCAGAACCCAATGTGTAGTTCCCATTGATTCAAAGTCCCATTGGCTACAGTACCTTTATGCATAATTTTATGTTGGAATAGAACTTCTCTTGAATAGCAAAGGCCTCATTTGTTTCCATCTTGTTTATAGAGTTGAACTTTTCATCCTTGTGTTTAGTGGATGTAGCCACTATGAACTGCATCTCTTTTCCTGCATGTCATTTCAGACTATTCTTTTTTTTTTTTTAAATGGCTCTTCTGATGAAACTTAAATAGGTGACCCAAATAGCTAATTTGGTATAGTGATAAAGGTGCTGGCCTAGAAACCAGGAGACTGAGTTATAGTCCTGCCTTAGGTACAAAAACCAGCTGGATGACTTTGAACCAGTCATTTTCTCTTAACCCTACCCTACTCTTGCATGGTGGCTATTGTGGGGGAAAAAGAGGAGGAAGGAGTATTACATATATTCACCGCCTTGAGTTACTCATAAAGTAAAAAAAAAGTCTAATGAATATGTTCTTTTAGTATAAAACAATTCATATCATGCATTTTTTTTCATTCATGAAGCAATTGTTTTAGCCCTCGTGTATTCATATTTTCAAGTGGTTGACTTTATCAGGGAAGACCTGGACCAATCAAAATCATTTTACAAATCTCCCTGTCCCTCCAGGTACTGGTTATGGTGCACCACAAAAGCCTACATTGGTGGCTTTGCTAAAGAAGTCTATAAAAGATTGCGCATGTACCAGGTGAATTTCATAGCACTACAGAGGAAGAAAGATCCAGAGCAAGTCTTGCTCCAATGCCTCCCAAAGCACAAGGTGGGTGTTTCTATGTGTGTATTAGTACAACCCTGCGCATCCCTGCATGTACAGATGCATACATTTGCCAATATCATAGGAAATGAAGCTTGTATTCTGCAAACACAAAGTTGTTCCTAGCATCCAGAATTTTAGAAACAGTAATATAATGAGGAATAAGTTGGAATAAGTAGGAGTAAGTGAGGAGTATAGCTATCTCCGAATAATGTTTCCTTCATTTAAAGCTGAACTTGGCTTTTAAGTGTGTGTCTGGGGTCAGACTTATAAAAGTAACATGTAAAACCGAACAAAACAAAAATCATTTACAATTACATGATGTACAAAGTCATTACTAAAAGCCAACATGGGTTTGTCAAAAATAGATCATGCCAGACAAATCTTATTGCATTCTTTGACCAAGTGACAAAATTAGTGGATCAGAGGAATGCGGTGGACATAATTTACTTGGACTTCATTAAGGCATTTGATAAAGTAGATCACAGCCTACTACTTGACAAGATAGAAAAATGTGGGATAGACAGCATCACCACCAGATGGATCTGTAGCTGGCTGACCGGCCGTACTCAGTGTGTGGTCCTCAATGGAACCACATCTACATGGAGGGAAGTATGTAGTAGGGTGCCCCAGGGCTCTGTTCTGGGCCCAGTGCTCTTCAACATCTTCATAAACAATCTGGACGAGAGGATAGATAGGGAATTCATCAAATTTGCAGACGACACCAAGCTGGCAGGAATAGCCAACACTCCAGAAGAGAGGTTTAAGATACAGAAGGATCTGGACAGACTTGAACACTGGGCAACAAAATGCTAGGCTGCATTAACAGAGGGATAGAATCAAGATCACGTGAAGTGTTAATACCACTTTACAATGCCTTGGTAAGGCCACACTTGGAATACTGCATCCAGTTTTGGTCACTGCGATGCAGAAAAGATGCTGAGACTCTAGAAAAGAGCAACAAAGATGATTAGGGGACTGGAGGCTAAAGCATATAAGGAACGGCTGCTGGAATTAGGTATGTCTAGTTTAATGAAGAGAAGGACGAGGGGGGACATGATAGCAGTGTTCCAATATCTCGGGCTGCCACAAAGAAGAGGGAGTCAAGCTATTTTCCAAGGCGCCTGAAGGCAGGACGAGAAGCAACGGGTGGAAACTAAGCAAGGATAGAAGCAACCTAGAACTAACGAGAAAATTCCTGACAGTTAGAACAATTAACCAGTGGAACAACCTGCCTCCAAAAGCAGTGAATGCTCCAACACTGGAAGTTTTCAAGAAGAGACTGGACAGCTATTTGTCTGAAATGGTATAGGGTTTCCTGCCTGAGCAGGGGGTTGGATTAGATGACCTCCAAGGTCCCTTCCAACTTATTATTATTATTATTATTATTATTATTATTATTATTATTATTATTATTATTATTATTATTTAAGCCAAACCTGTCAAACACAAGGCCGGGGGCCAGATGCGGCCCACGAAGCCATCCTGGAAACAGTGAGGGAACGGCCCCCTCTGCCTTGACCCTGGCCCAGGCCGGCAGGGAGTCAACGTACAATTTTCTGGTGGCCACCTATGCTGAACGCATTCCGTCTTAGCTCCACAAGGCCGTCTGGAAACAGCGAGGAACCAGCCCCTGCCGTGTCGCCCCCACCCCGTGGGTGCATGCTGGGGAGGTGTCACTCTTTGTGAGGAATGAAGAAATGCACCATCACCTGGAAGTGGCCAGCAAATGGCCCTTGCCTACTTCGCCTATCTGGCTTGATGGGCTCCAGGGGAGGGTTTCGCCAGACAGCAGGGCGCTCTCCTCACAGCACCGAGAGGCTGAGCCAGGTGGTGCAAATCCAAAAAGAAGCGTGATGCCGCCCAGCCCCCAGCCTGCCTGGTTTGGGCAGGCAGCGGGGCGGTCTCCTCACAGCACCAAGAGCTGAGCCAGGTGACACGAATCTGATGAGAAGTGCAATGCTGCCTAGCCCCCAGTCTGCCCAGTTTCAGCAGGCAGCAAGGTGCAAAGCTGACGAGCTTCGCACCTCCCGACTCAACCTCTCAGTGCTGTGAGGAGAGCGCCCTGCTGCCTGCCCAAACTGGGCAGGCTGGGGTCTGGGCGTCATTGCGCAGGTAATGTTGAGTCTCACACTGCTCATGGCATCCCCTCTCCCAGAGCCCACCAAGCCAGATATGTGAAGTAGGTGAGGGCCATGTGCTGGCCATTTTCAGGTGATGGTGCATTTCTTCATTCCTCATGAAGAGTGACACCTCCCCAGCTGTGTTTCTTGCCTGTTTTTCTCCCTCCCTCATCTCAAATATTTTCCCACCACTCTGTACTTAGGAAGGAAGGAAGGAAAGAAGGAGAGGGAGGATATTAGGGAACTCCTGCCTTAGTCCTGTCCTGCTGCCCTTTCACCATCCCCTGCCCCCTCCTCCTGGCTTATCCTGGAGGTCTCCCATCCTACTACTAAGGAAGCTTTGGATACAAAGCCAGGTCTACTCCCATGGAGAGGGAATGGGCCTCCCTCTGACTTTGCCCTCATACCCATCATGAGCAACCTGGCTAAGGAGAGCAAGCACAGCAGCAGCAGCCTTGAGGAGGAGATAAGTGCAGCTGGGCGCCCCCTTGGGGAAGTGGGGCTGGGCTTGGTGCCGTGGGTGCTCGAGGGCCAGGCTGGGCGTTTGACCTCTGCTGCCCAGGGCTTCGGGCAGCCCACACCACCATGCAGTCCCCCCGCATGGCCTGAGAGGAACAGTGAGGCTTCTCCAGTGGACCATGCCTTGGCACTTGCCCTGGTCCCACCCCCTTCTGCCAGAGACCCTCAGATCTGTCCCACTCCTGCCCAGGCCCTCACAGGCACCCTTGATGCAAATGATGTAGAGCTGGCCATGTCCACCCAGTAGGGCACACCCACTCCATCCATGCCCACCCAGTAGGCCGCATGCAACCTGGCCACACCCACCCGGCCCCCCAAGGGCAACCGCAATGCTGATGCGGCCCTCAATGAAATTGAGTTTGACACCCCTGATATAAGCAGATCTTTTGGAGTTCAAATGGAAGATCACAACTCCAAAATGCTCAAGTTCTAGGGAAGGATTTGCAGGTTTCAATACATTTTAGGAGAGGTGAGATCAGCAAACATGGAGGGAAGAGAGGAAAATTATTTGATGAAAAATTTCATTAGATTATTATTGGATGCTGCACCACTTGGATGAGTATTAGGTACATTGTTTCAACCTTCTATGACCGTATACTTTTCTGTTGTTCATCAGATCAGCTTCCATTGCCCTAAAACACCAGCATATTCCTTAAAACACCAGCATATTTTTTTCCAGTCTTATGTGGAATTGTTACTAGTTAAGTGAGACTTCATAATTAAATATACACAGGTAGCTCGTATCAAATGTATTGCATTTTAGCAAGCCTCCAGGAGCTCTGTTCCTTGGAAACCTGAATCTTCCTATTGCAATGGTACAAGGATAAAGAAATGAGGATTTTAAAAATAATGTTCCAGTGTCTTTACTCCTTTTTGATGGTCTTTTAGGTGGATCCTGTTTTGAAAAAGCTCCTTGACCGATATCGAGGTCCTGAGCCATCCGATATTGTGGAGCTGTTTGAAGGGGAACAGTTCTTTGCAGCCTTTGAACAAGGCATCAGCATTGATGCAGGTGAAATGTCAACAGCTTGCCTGTGTTTATATATGTATGCCTCCATAATTCAAGTTTAGCTCTGCAATTCCAAATCAGCTCATAACAATAGCAATAGCACTTATATAGCACTCCATAGTGCTTTACAGCATTCCCTAAGTGGAGCCAATAAGGATTGAACTCCTGGCTGTGGGCAAAGTTAGCCTGCAATATTGCACCTTAACTACTGCACCACCACAGCTCATCTTAAAAGAACTAACAAAAGACAGAATCAGTTGCACAGGCAGAACCTGGATGTATCTTAATCCCACATTATATGGTATCGTAGTGAGGCCTCTATCTGAAAAACAACAAATACGAGTTCTCCTGCCTCTAACTATATAACTCCCTTCCCTCTCTGCGCCTCCACCCCACCCTGGGACTATTTCCTAATTTCTAATTTATGGATAAGGATGAAATTCCTTTTCTGAATTTCCCAGGAAAAGTTTCAGTTGATTTAAACCAGTGTTTCTCAACCTTGACAATTTTAAGGCATGTGGACTTCAACTCCCAGAATTCCACAGCCAGCAATGCTGGCTGTGGAATTCTGGGAGTTGAAATCCACATGCCTTAAAATTGTCAAGGTTGAGAAACACTGATTTAAACTATTGCAGATCAATGTTATGTATGCATTCCCCATTGCTTGAAAATTTCAAGGATAGAGTCCTAGGATGGAGGACCCATTATATTAATGTTAAAAGGCCTTTAACTGAAAGTGGCTGCTTTTGCCGCCTCAACAGATTCTTTCAAGTGACAATTTAAATAATAAATGTGGGATACATTATATCTAAACCATATGGTTTGCCAATGAGTGGCAAAATTTACAATTTACTTTGAGACTGAGGATGGGGAAAAACGAAAGTTGACTTAGTTCCAAAATTCTGTTTCTTGTGGGACAAAAACCTGTAAAAAATTTTTTAGTCTTTCTAACAGCCTTCCCAAACCTATGGTAGCTGAGAATTTCAGAAGTTGTGTTCCACCCCATTTGGAGAACTTCTGGCTGCTGGAAGCTATTTTATAAAAATGAGATTATTTGTGATTTAAGCCAATTGAATTATTTTCTCTAACTTATTTCAGACCGCCCAGACTGCATTGATGGAAGGATTTCATTCAACTTTTTTTCTCATTTGAAAAATGTGAAGGAAGTCTATATTACCTCTGAAGTGGACAGAAACAGCAAGCCTGTGAAAGGGCAGGTACATACACTTCTCCTCTTGTCCACAGTAAAACTTCCCATAACAGTTTGTACCCCAGTTAATTAATACTAGCATATCAATTCTTTTTCCTCATTGTCTGAGTCCAGTGGCATAACTTATTTATATTCTCTGATTCCATAATTCAAAAGATGAACGTATAATTTTGATTGTAATACATTGTAATAAATATTATCTTCCAATATTTTTGTAGAATGTGCTTCATGGATGGCTGACGTTCACAGTTTAACCCAAAGCCACCTTATCTCAGAATTTTTTTAAAAAAGTATCTCTTTAAGAGGGCTATTCAAACTGTGCAGGCTTTATGTCAAAAGTTCTACTGCCCAGGATGCTTTTTTCTGCTTCTCATATTATTATTTTCCCCTTATATAGTCCCACTGTCTCTAGTATTAAATAGCTATAAAAACTCAGTACTTTACATGCAAAATTTTTGTTAAGCAAATCCTTTTCAGCTACTTTGCAAACCATAACTAATTTCGTACACTACAGTGAGCATAACATGGTTTATTTGTTTTTGACTTATTGTTGACACAAACACAGCTGATTATTGTTCATCTCAACAGCTCGGTAAGCAAATCATGGCTGATGTGTGAACCTTGTCATATTTCATAGTATTTAACTTAATACAGATTTAATTTCATTATTATGCATAGTTAAGCTAGAGCTTACAAATTCATAGTTTGTAGGAGCAAAAGAAGAGAGCCAATTTGGCGTAGTGGTTAAGGCACCAGCCTAGAAACTGGGAGACCTTGAATTCTGTTGTTTTAGGCACAATGTCAGCTGAGCAACTTTGGGCTAGTCGGCCTCTCTCAGCCCTGGGAAAGAGACAATGACAAATCACTTCTGAAAGTGATTCAAGAAAATACAAGAAAGATTTCAACATTGACAAAGGTATAAAACAGACATGTCAAACACAAGGCCCAGGGGCCAGATGCGGCCCGCAAAGTGGTTTCATATGGCCCGCGAAGCCATCCTGGAAACAGTGAGGGAATGGCCCCCGTTGCCTTGGCCCTAGCCCAGGCCAGCTGGGAACCAATGTATAATTTTGTGGTGGCCATATATGCTGAAATGCATTCAGTCTTAGCATCACAAGGCTGTCTAGAAACAGCAAGGAACCAGCCCCTGCTGTGTCGGCCCCACGCCGTGGATGCATGCTGGGGAGGTGTCACCCTTTGTGAGGAATGAAGAAATGGACCCTGCCTTGGCATTTGCCCCGGTCCTACTCCCTTCTGCCAGAGACCCTCAGATCTCTCCACTCCTGCCGAGGCCCCCACAGGCACCCTTGACGCGAACGATGTAGAGCTGGCCATGCCCACCCAGTAGGCCACACCTACTCCATACACGCCCACCCAGTAGGCTGCACCCCCCCCCGAGGGCAACTGCAATGCTGATGCGGCCCTCAGTAAAATTGAGTTTGACACCCCTGGTATAAAGGAAATGTTTGGGGGAGGGGAGGCAAAAGAATGAGCAGAGCAAATCCCAGCAAATCAAAACCATAGCAATAATTCTCAACAGATTGGTCTAATAATAGGCGCACAATAATATGCCAGATCAGATTATTTGCTTTATATTCAGTTCATGCTAGAACATCTACAAATAAATGCATAAGTAAGTAACCTCCCAAATGAGAGAACACCGACATCTCACCCAGCTGTGGTTCTTTCAAACCTGTCTAAGGCTGATCTCTTTTTGTAGGTTTCCTTTTATCGAGGAGAAGTACCAGAGAGCATTCCTGAAGAGATTACAAGGAGGAGGAAGGGCCCCGACTCTCATTGGCTGGCTACCTTGCCAATCAAGCTACCTGTAAGTGCTATTCACAAAGAAGAATTGATACGCTCAGCAGCTTGGGTGGTTGTTCTTTTTTTCCCCTGGCCTTGCAGGCTGGGAAGTGTCTTGTATAGACACTTTTGTGCATGTAAAGCAGTCACCCCACGTTTTGCTGGTTTTCCCATCCCTTTCTCAACCTTTGAGACAGAATGATCTTAGGAGTAAGAGAGGAGAGTATACTGGGGGGGGGGGGGGAGAAGGCTGTAGTGGAAAGAATTGCTGTACTCACGCTGCATTCAGTCCTTGAAGGAGTGCTTCCAATTGGCCTGTGCAAATTCATTGGAACAAGGCCAGTAAGAAAGGCAGTCGTCCTAACGGGGTGCAAGTACCTTGGACCAAAATGCGTCTGATACTGCGGCAGAGCTGGCTGGATCAAGATTAATAAAGCAGAAAAAGGGAGTGTTCTCCATATATCTTGAAAGGATGAGAGGAAGTGCCCTTCTGTTAAGCAATGGGTATTTATATTATATTTATATTCCTTCATTATCCCAGGCAGAAAAAGCTACAGTGCATTACTGTTTTTCCTCTAAGAAGAATGTACCATTCAACGCCAACTTCTTGATGGCAGATCCTTAATATTCTAAAAGCACTCTTGCTATTAAGACATAGCACAGATTGTCTTGTGCAGTTACTCCTTTAATATTTCACATGAAATATTCTTTATATCATGAAATACAGTAGCATTAGTGGACAGAGAGAATATGGAATTGTTAGTTGATTGTTTTAATAGTTGCTTATTTATTTATTTATTTATTTATTTTATTTAAAACACTTATACAACCACCCACCTTATACTAGATTCTAGATGGCTCCCAATCAAGAATTAAATAATAAAATAACCTTAAAACCGTATGAGAACTGTTAAATTCATAATGTTACAATTTAGTTGCTGAACATTAAAAGACCTCCTTTGGGGTAAAACAGGAAAAAGTTTTGCTATTTTGTACTGACTTGTACTTACATTTGATGTTATTCATGTTATCAGCTATATGAAACCATATAAAATATTTTACATAACTGAAAATGAAATACTTAGGGAGACTATTAAGAATAATTTGTACATAAGAGTTAGTGGTTGGAGCTTGAAACATTTGAATGCTGCCTGACTAAAGACTAGGTGAGGATTGTGTGCAGGGTTTTGAAAAACTATTTAAGTAGGTTATGTTTGCTTGGGAGAATAATTCCATTTAAAAAAAACACCTTTTGACTGCCAATCTATTATCTATAGACAATTATCAATTATCTATAGACAATACACTTTCAATAAACATGCACCAAAGTTGTTGTTAGGTTCATTCAGTTCAATAAGGGAAGCATATTTTAATCCACTGGTTTCTTTAACTGACAATTTATAATAGCATAATGTGAGTTTTCGCTATATAACAGAGTTTAATAGAGTTTCTCTAAAATAGCTTGCTTTTATAAAGGAGAACTTTTCTAACATTCAAATATTAAGATGTTTTAGCTCACAAGTATGCACTTCTGATCGTAAGGATACTTTCTAATTTATAAACAGAAACACACATATTTTGATAGCAACTATGTTATATAATTGCATATATACTATATATTTAGCATAAATTCATATTCCAGGCCATTTCATTAGTCATAAAATTCCTAAGAGATTAGATGTAAGCAAGAAGATGCCTACCTTTCATTTAGATAAATATTCCAAATTAATGCCTTTATTAATACCTAACCTTTTATTAACCATTCCTAATTCAAAGTTCACTGTTACCTTCTTACCGTATCATACCTCCAGTTCACATTTTGATGCTTTCCGCAGGTCAAAATAAATCAGCCTCTGTTAACCATTAACTGATAAGCAAAACCTTTAAGTATATTTTTTACCTTGAATAATGATTGACCCTTCAGCAGATTTCAGATAACTTCTGACCAGGAGAGTTTATAACCCATCATTACTCAAGTCTCTTTCTGGCTGAGGCTGGTAGGACCTTAATAAGATGGCATCTAAACCACCTTGTGTGTGTATAAGTTCATATATATTTACCAAAACTCATGGTGAACCAACTTGTGCCTTTATGACTCTTCCTTTAATATAATCTCTACTTTTTGTTTATGAAGTCAAATATCATTTTAATGTTTACTTTTTACGTAATTCATTTATGGTAGAGCAGAAGACTATATTTTAGCTGAAGATATGTACTTTCTTATTCTCTTTTTGAAGAACTAGCTAATATTAGTGGGTTCCTCCTTTATACTTTAAAGAGGTACCTTTGAACAAAGAACAGACTACACTGGCACAAAAGCTAAGTTATTTTTTTCTAATTTTAAAATCAGAAGCAAAACCAAGATTGGATAAATGTTGTCCCAGTCAGCAACATTAGTGATCAAGAGGATAGAAGTTGAAAGTCCAACAGAACTTGTAGTCTTTTTCAAGTGGGGAAAGGATGTCTTTCTCTAAATCCGTAGTAGTTAAACAAATTGCCAGAACACACCAAATCAGTTATGTTTTTTTTTTCCAGGACTCAATACTGAATGGAAGACAATTGACCATAATTGTACATTGAAGATGGTTCAATTTCAATATTTCATATATTTACCTGAAATTAATTCTATATAAATATCCATAACAGTGCAGTATCCATCTCTATAGAGCTAAATGAGCTAAATTTAAATGATGAGGGTAGTTGAAAGTTAGTTGAGCACACAAGAAATGTCATGCTAAGGTCAGTTCAACATGAGAATCAATTATCCAAAGAGACAGTGCTCTCTGACTCAAGATCCAAGGTGGACAGTCACAGTCATGTTTTATAACATGTCATGAATAACAGGATAATATGTTAATATGTGACAACATGTTATCTTCTGTTCTACCAGAAACTGAAAACTCAGGTAAACAAGCAGCCCACAACTCCAAATGGCTTCTCTCTTCCTCCTTTGAATTTGGGGAATGCTGAAACTGGCTACTTGACTCAGTCCAACCTTCTTGGCATTGCTGGACGCATAGGAGCTGAATGGAGAATCATTGGTTTAAACCTGGGATTGTCCTATCAGCAGCTGCAGCGCATACAGTATAACAGCAGGTGAGAAATGAAAAAACTGAAATTAATTCAGGAAATGTGTCCTGGAGCATCAATAATCCAGCTGTCTATATCCTTATTTTGTATCTTAGATGATAAAAAGTATTTTTTTTTCTTTTTGCCTTGGAATTGTCATACGATTCAGGAATTCTATTTTGCTTGTTTATTATATATGATGTTTGTCCGACAGAACTTACATAGAGAAACCAGAATCAAAATAAAAATTAATTAAAACAGCAAATTGAAGGCTATAATTATAGAAAATTATACTGTTACGCATAGTTAATCCTCAAAGGCTCTTCGGAAGAGCCATCTTTATAATCTGCTTCTGAGATACCCTGAAGGTTGGGTCATCTGTCTTTCAAGCGGTAATCTACTCCATCTAAAGCAGTGGTTCTCAACCTTTTTAATGCCGCGACCCCCAACCGGTCGTAAGTCAAGGACTACTCAACCGATCATAAGTCGAGGACTCCTCAACTGGTGCAGCACCGTTTGCAGAATGGGACTTTTGGCGGGCTCAGCAGGGCAGAGACAGTCTGGGCAATTCCTATTGGCTTTTGAAAGCCAATAGAATTAGACTCTATTCAAGAGAGTCTATTCTATTGGCTTTCAAAAGCCAATAGAATAAAAGGGAGTAGCACAGCTAAGAAAAAGGGGGGGAAAATGGTGGACTGCGTTGTTTGGCGACCCCCGTGAAATGGTCGTTCGACCCCAAATGGGGTCCCGACCCACAGGTTGAGAACCACTGATCTAAAGAGAACTGCTTCAGGCGAGCTCACCACTGGGGTGGAATGTCTCTGCAGGAACACAGGGTAAGGAGCAAAACAATTAGGGAGTTAACCATTACAGAAAAAAAAATCCTTATTTTGATTTTTTTTATTGATTATGTGCCATTAAGTTGTTCTTAACTCTTAGCAACTGTGTAAATAAATTTTCTCCCTGATGAGCTATCACTAAGCCGGACCTTTCCAATGGTGCACCTGTGGCTATTACAACGGAGCCTATCTACCTTGCTGCTGGTCATTCTCTTATCTTTCCCAAATCTGTTTCTCAGGAAGATGATCAAAAGCCAGACCTGGAATCAGTCAGTCTCTGAATCAACAGCAACTCTTGTCTTGTTTGGGTCGAGTCAAAACCTGTTTTCCCCCACCAAACTCCAACAGCCTTCACATGCTGGGTTATGATATCCGCTGCATGTTAGGCTTTGGATAGTTTTTTTGGAAGTTTTTTTGAAGGCTAACCTCCTTCTTTACCATAACCACCTGACTTCAGAAGCATCATAACATCATGCCTCCAAATCTCACCCATGTGGGTGATCCAGAAAGATACTGTAGTCAACTGCATTGAAAACTGTTGAAAATCCAGGAATATAGTAATAGTCATGCCACTTTTGTTCAAGCCCCATCACCAGTCATCTGTGATAGCAATCAATTTCTGTCTATACCCAGTCTGAACCCAGATAGTTAAAGTTGTGATAAACCATATTCTCCATAGCCCTCTGCAGCCTCTCAACTTTCTCAGTACCTTACATCTAGAAAGAAAACTTAGTTATAGTACAATACTTGTCGAATTTTGTTGGATCTAGTTTTGGCCTTTTAATAAGTGGATAAACCTCTTTAAGGACTTCTTCCCTTCCCTTAAAGAAACATTGACTATAGCTTGAGCCCAACTCCTAGTTATCTCCTTGACTATTTCAGTTACTCTGGTGGGGCAAGGACCTAATCCAGAGGTAGTGGAGATAAGATCACAAAGGACTATCCACTTCCTTGGGATTCATAAGCTCAAAAACCACCTAGATAATATTACCTCTGCCATCTCAGATGTTTCTTCCTACATAAACATGGAAAATGTGCAAGTGATTTTATCTACAAGATGCTCAGCAGGTGATCCCAGCTATCTCCGACTAGATTTTCCAGTCCATCCTTCCTTCAGAGCAGTGGTTCTCAACCTGTGGGTCGGGACCCCATTTGGGGTCGAACGACCATTTCACGGGGGTCGCCAAACAACGCAGTCCGCCATTTTCCCCCCTTTTCCTTAGCTGTGGTACTCCCTTTTATTCTATTGGCTTTTGAAAGCCAATAGAATAGACTCTCTTGAATAGAGTCTAATTCTATTGGCTTTCAAAAGCCAATAGAAATTGTCCAGGCTGTTTCTGCCCTGCTGAGCCCGCCAAAAGTCCCATTCTGCAAATGGTGCTGCACCAGTTGAGTAGTCCTCGACTTACGATCGGTTGGGGGTCGCGGCATTAAAAAGGTTGAGAACCACTGCTTCAGAGGGACCAGGACACTTTCACAGGGTGGCTGATCAGCATTTTTACTTAAATGGCTAGCATGGGGGGCACACATGCAGTTGTTAACCAATCCTTGCAGGTTAATATTTCATGCAAGTACAACCCGTGGGGTTTACATGCTTTCCATGAGCACAAGTATTGCAACTTCCTTACCCCCAGGATACCCCTAAGATAAGTTTGGGTTATTCTACTACCTTTGCCCTCAAGTCATAAAGATGTTTTTCCTATTCATAAGACATTAAACTGGGTTGCTGCTGAAATTAATGAGCTACTGATTACTGCTTTTTTACAGTTTATGCTGCCCAGAGTCTCTTGATAGCGAGACATGCAGCATGTACATTTAATAAAGAAATAAAAATAAATAAAAAATTATGCCTTATTATGTAAATTGATAGGATCATACTGAAAGATATTGATACTGATTTTGATACTAAACACAAATGAGACTTTCATATGACAGTTATACATGATACAAACCTATTTTTTTCACTGTTGTTTTATTCTCTCCTCAGGGAAGATCTCCATACTCAGATTCTAGATATGCTTTTCTCCTGGGCTCAGCAAAATGAAAAGAAGCCTGACTGCATAGACAAGCTGATTAAGGCCATGCAAGATAGTGGCCGCCAAGACATAGCAGATGAGATCACCACCATCATTGGATTGGGAAGGCAAAAATATACCGAGTCCATCCAGAGGGTAGGCCTGGACCGGGAAAGTAGTACAGAAGATTCTGCTATTGCTACAGGATAATTGCTAGACAATTATGGATTAGTCAACAAAATAGGATTAATCAAATCCAGGCTATTTCTTCTTCAAGATTATTGTACTGTCCAATTCTTCTCTTTAGTGTTTTGCTGCCAATTAGCTATGCTTATGTGCCACTGGTGGCTTTTACTAGATCCTTGTAAGCAGCTACTTGCAAGTTCACCTGGGATAAGTTAAGATTCCCAACTACGTTTTACTAAAGTTTTACTTTTTTAGGGCAAAAATGACTTTAAAATACATAAGGCAGACCAGTGCACAATATTTCCTATGGAGTCTAAGACTTTTTTGTTTGTTTGTTTGTTTGTCTGTTCCTTGTGGGTAGAACCTCTGAGTTTTGAAAGTGGGTCAACTGGGCTCTCTTAGGGATATACACATTTTAGAAGCAAACTGCACATTTTTCAATTGTTCTTTGATGTGATCCTTGGCTTCAGCACTTGGACCCTGCAGGACCTCTTATTTCGGGAGTTAAGAAAATACACTGTACTAAAACTTTGGCTCCTTCCTCTCCTAGGTAGACAGCTGTTCTTTTACTGATAGTGATAGGGAATTTCTGTCATGTTTTAAGTTATCTCGCAGCAGTCATGAACTAGGGGCTGTGCTGTTGTGATTTAACACAGTGGTCTTTCATAATTTGTTTCATCCTTTGGGAGATTATCATCTGTACTAAAACTGAACCATTCTTCCACATTTTATTTTGCACCTAACCTATTTTTTTGTCAGGTACTTGCAGGAAAAAAGGAAGAGCATTGAAGAATATTAAACTACAAGAAATGCTTCCAGCCCCACTTTGGTCCTTCTAAAATTTTCCTTTAAAAATAAATAAATATATAAATAAATCAAAATAAAAGCCTAGTAGACCATAAATAGACTGCACAACATCCTCTGACGAATGCTAGGACCAGATGTTGTAAATTACTGTATCTCTGACTCCACATAATATATTAATGTCACATGAATGAATTATAATACTTAACCATTGTTATTTGTAAATTGCAATTTATGGCTTAGTATTATATATGAGTCCAATAATTTTGGTTTACTCAGTAGGCCATGGTTATGACAATTATGTCAACCAAGGTAATATATCAGATCCAGGGCAGATTATCCCAGGTGGTTCCATAACCATTTATCTTGGATAGCTAAGACATAATCATGGCTGTAGTCAAAGTCATCTGATTACTAGGACAATTTTGGTTTAGGTGGGTTTTTTTTTTTTTTAGATTTTTCCCCAAACATTTCTGCTTTTGAGTCACTTTATCCACTTTTAGCTAGGTTGACTAGAGTTGTAGCTAGAGTTTTATTGCTTATAAAATGTTAGGTTGAATTTAGAATTGTTTGGTTTTTAAAATAATATTACAACAGAATATGTGGTGAAAGTTGATCTTAATGTTGAAAACAGCTTTCTAATCCTTTCTAATCCTTTTGTGTCACTGCTCAGAAATGAGAAGGCAGCTGTCATATTTCTATCCTTTCCTTTCTTACCCTTCAGCGTTTGCTTTTTGTTTCTTGCCATCCTTTTTCCATCCCTGACCCTCTCAGCTTCAGCTGCCCCTTTAGGATCAGTCCTCATATAAAGTGAACAATTTTTTATTGTTTTGTTTATTTTTTTTTTTAAAAAAAACTGGCCGTCTTAAAACTGTCCAAAGAAACTAGAAATAGCTTGATTGTTGTTTCTGTAAGCCATCAAGCCAGTTCTAATCAATGCTCCTTTTTATAGAAACAGATGTCTTTGATAAATGTATTTCTACTTTTTAATCCTCGTGTCCTGTCAGGAGGTTCAGACTGCTGCACCGTTTGGCTATAAGTGCTTTTTAAGACAATTGTGATTTTTTTTTAAAAAAAAAAAAAGTAAAGCTGTTTGATATTTTCTTCAGATGTTGATAAAAGGAAGTTTTCCCCATTTGGAAAGCTGTGGTATTTTACTTGATGTTCAAGCTGTCCATTTTTACAATGGCCCTGTAAGAATTAAATAAGCACCAGCCAGATGGATTTTTCTTGGTCCTGCTAGCCCTTCATCTCTGTTCTAACAAGACCTTAAGTGTTGTCTCCCCCCTTAGAAAGAATTGCCAAGGAGCTATTATTCCTGCATTCTTCAGGTAGTTGGAGAGATAGGGGTTTACCTTTAAGCATGATAAATGAAATGTTTCCATTTTAATATGTCTTATTATTTATTCCTTCTGTGGCCCTGCCAATAATAATTTCAGAGATTTAGTTGTCAAATGCTCCTCCCCCTTGTTTTGTGTATGATTTTTAGCTTGCCTGTATTAGGAAAATCTTTGTTTGGTACTCCAGTTTTGGAGAGGTTAAATAGGGCATATTGCCTTTGTTTGTAATATGTAGAATTTTGTTTATTCTTTTGCAACCTAATAATGTAGTTGGCATAATAAAAATGGGTCAAAGTTGGCATAATGAAATGGGTCAAAGTTGTGCATATTGCTGTTAACCCCTGACAAAGGAAGGTGGTGGCAGCCAGTACCAGCTGGCATGCTGAAGGTTGTAAAGTGATGTGCAAATTGCTTTCAGAATAAAATGTCTCCATTTTGTATCACAATCGTTCTGTGCAAAGAAATAAATTCTTCAGTCTTTCTAATCTAAATAATGCAAATAGTCGAATGTGTATGTGGATTCCTCTGCATCTTTGCCTATTTTCCTTTCTAGCCTACTGAACTTCAGAGGACAGAAAGGATTTTTAAATAAACTTCAATAAAATGTGTTAGTCTGAAAAGGGCTACCATACTCCTGATTTTTAGCTATTATGGGGCTCTGCGGGTTTAAGACAAAAATGCTGCTCATACACAGCCTGACTTGCGGTAGGTGGCAGCAGTGCTGTTCCAAAGATCTCCTTGCCAAGAAAAGAGAACTCAGCTTGAGTCAAGCAGATTTTTTTTGGCCAGGACAAGATTTCTGTCAACATACAATAAAGAACATGAAGTATTTTGGCACAGAGATAAGCGTAGAGTAGATTATATTACTATAGTCCACCTTTTATGTAACAGGTTGAATTGTGCTTTGATAGCTGCTATAAAGCAAGAACAGTCCAATTAATTGACAAAGGTTAATCTTTTCAGTGCTGGGTAACTGATGAAGCTGTATCCACACTTTGAAGAAACATTGTTCAAAATCATTTATAGGTAACAGAGTTCTGAAGGAGCTGGCAGATGTTATCTCAGAACCACTGCACCATATCTTTCAAAAATCCTGGAGCATTGGGGAACTACCTGAGGATTGGAAAACAGCTGATATGGTTCCCATCTTCAAGAAAGGGGAAAAAACAGACCCAGGAAACTACAGATCAATCAGTCTAACATCAATACCTGGGAAGATCCTGGAAAAGATAATCAAAAAAAGAACTACGAACAACTCGAAGCAAACAATAACCAGTAGCCATCACGGATTTGTCAAAAACCAGTCTAATTTAATTCTTCGATAAAGTGACTAAATTAGTAGACCAGTGAAACGCTGTGGACATAGTATACTTAGACTTCAGTAAGGCATTTGACAAAGTAGACCACAACCTGCTATTTAGTAAGCTGGAAAAAGGTGGGATAGACAACATCATCATCAGATGGATCTGTAGTTGGATGACAAACTGTATTCAGCGGGTAGTGCTCGATGGTATTACACATGAAGAGAAGTAAGCAGTGGGGTACCACAAGGCTCTGTCTTAGGCCCAGTACTCTTCAATATCTTCATTAATGACTTAGATGAGAGAATAGAAGGGGAGTTCATCAAATTTGCAGATGACACTAAACTGACAGGAATAGCCAATACCCCAGAAGACAAGCTCAGGATCCAAAAAGATCTTGACAAACTTGAACAATGGGCCCTATCCAACAAAATGAGTTTTAATGTGGAGAAAAGCAAAATCTTACATTTAGGCAGGAAAAATCAAAGGCTTAAGTACAAATTAGGTGAGACCTGGCTCAAAAACAGCAACTGTCAGAGGGACCTTGGAGTCCTAGTGGACAATCACTTGACTATGAGCTAGCAGTGTGCAGCCACAGCCAAAAAAGCTAATACAATCCTGGGTTGTATAAACAGAGGCATATTATCACAATCATGTGAAGTATTAGTATCGCTTTATAAAACCCTAGTAAGACCAAACCTGGAATACTGCAACCAATTTTGGCCACCATACTAAAAAAAAGATGTTGAAAAAGTTCAGAGAAGAGCAACTCAAATGATCAAAGGCCTGGAGACTAAAACATGAAGAATGGTTGCAGGATTTGGACTTGGCTAGTCTAAAGAAAAGAAGAAACGGGCAATATGATAGTAGTATTTCAGTATTTGAGGGGCTGCCACAAAGAGGAGATCAAACTATTTTCCAAAACAGCAGAGGGCAGGACAAGAAACAATGGTTGGAAACTGACCAAAGAGAGAAGCAACCTGGAATTAAGGAGAAACTTCCTAACAGTGAACAGCTTGCCTTCAGAAATCATGGGCACCCATCACTGGAGGTTTTTAAGAAGAGGCTAGAGACAGTCACTTGCCTGAAATGGTATAGGTTCTTCTGCCTGAGCAGGGGGCTGGACTAGAAGACCTCCAAGGTCTCTTCCAGCCCTATCTGTTCTGTTCTGTTCTGCTCTGCTCTATTCTATACTGTTCTGTATATACAATTGCAATATGGATATCCTCTTCCAGTTGGAAGAAAAATATTTATTTCTAACTTGGCCATCATAATTCAATTTTACTTTACTGAGAGTAATATTTAAAAGCTGGTTTCCATGCTAGACTGACTATGCACAAAGTGACAAAGTGTATTGGGAAATGCTGCCCTTATCTATGACCTTATGAATTGTTTCTCATGTGTTTTCAATGCATCTACCTTAATATTCTTGGTCATTTTTAGTTACTGATTGCTGATGTCAATTAATGCATCTTCTAAAGGACTTTCTGGAAGATGGCTGGCATATTATAAAGTTTGACTAAAATTGAAGATGTATTTTGATTTTGTTAGCGTTCATGCTTTAATGTATTTTATATTACTGTATTTTGAAAATCAGTATGGGTCGGACACGACTTCGCAACTAACAACAACAACATGTCAATTCAATCAAAATCAAAAGTATAGGAGTTTGATAAATAAAACGGAGCTTTGAGGCAAAAAAATATTCAATCTTTGCTGAACTAATACAATAATACTGTTACAGAAATGGGTCTTGTTTATCAGTTTTTCCTAACAGAGTTTTGTAATATCTTTTATATATCAGAGTTGGGCAGAGAGTAGATCTGAATTTGCTTTATTGCTTCAGATAACCCATGTGAATGTATACTTTTCCAAATGTGATAAAAAAAGTTTTTCCTCTCTTGAACTGGGTTCTTAAAATCAACATTTGGGACAAAGAGGAAAGTTTGATATAAAATGATTTGTTTGAGAGCTCTAGTACTGGTATTCTAAATAAATTCATGAGCTACTATTGGACAGCTGGCTTCTATTTTGAAATTGTAAAGAAGTATTAATACCACTCTTCAATGCCTTGGTAAGGCCACACTTGGAATACTGCATCCAGTTTTGGTCACCACGATGTAAAAAAGATGTTGAGACTCTAGAAAGAGTACAGAGAAGAGCAACAAAGATGATTAGGGGACTGGAGGCTAAAACATATAAGGAACGGTTGCGAGAATTGGGTATGTCTATTTTAACGAAGAGAAGGACAAGGGGGGACATGATAGCAGTATTCCAATATCTCAGGGGCTGCCATAAAGAAGAGGGAATTAAGCTATTTTCCAAAGCACCTGAAGGCAGGACAAGAAGCAACGGGTGGAAACTAATCAAGGAGAGAAGCAACCTAGAACTAAGGAGAAACTTCCTGACAGTGAGAACATTTAATCAGTGGAACAGCTTGCCTCCAGAAGCAGTAAATGCTCCAACACTGGAAGTTTTTAAGAAGAGACTGGACAGCCACTTGTCCGAAATGGTGTAGGGTTTCCTTCCTGAGCAGGAGGTTGGACTAGATGACCTCCAAGGTCCCTTCCAACTTTACTACTATTACTAAAACCTCAGTTGAATCTGTCTGTTCCATCTCTCCTAACACATGTTAGAAATCCTTTTACAAAGGTCTTTAAATATATATTATAATATCTAATATCTCCCCCCCCCCCATATAGGTGACTTTGAACCAGTCACTCATTCTCAGCCCAACCCAACTTACAAAGTTGGGAGAAAAAGAAGAGTCTTGAGTTACTTATAAAAGTAATAAAGGCAGGATAAAAATCAACAAAATACTGGTTCTGAAGCTTTTGATATGCATTAGGTCTACAACTCAAAGATCAATTAGCTAGAGAATTCTACGACCTGCAGTCTTAGCAGATCTAAAGGATGGGAAAGACTGTCCTATGAAAAAGCATCCTTAGCATTAAGGCATTACCCAACAAATACAGATGGATCCACTATATGCTTGCCCCATCTCTTTTACCCCTTCTTCAAGTTCTCCAATAATTATCACTAATGAAATGCTTTAGAAGAAGCACATGTTGGTATACATATATTCTGGGAAAGAACTTAGGCACAATTGTCAGATATTTTTTCCAGTTTTATCTTCCTGTCACGTGTTTTTATATGACATGATTTCAGCTCTTTCCGGTTCTAAAAGAAAAAAAAACCTTGAAAAGGAAACCTTGGTAACAGTAAATGTTGGCTCAATATGAGGCCTTTCTCCTTTTTTTAACCAAAAGAAGAAGTGAACCTCTTTGCTATCTGCAGGATTAAAAGCCGCTTAGAATAGCATGGAGAATATATCTAAAAATTCAAACGCTGCCACTATCTACAAGGCTTGAGTTCAAATAGGAAAACTATTTGTTGTTTTTTGATCAGCTGCAATCAAAGTAGCCTAGCAGACATTTTTGTAGCTAATCTATGAAAATTTAGATTAGCTCTTCAATAACTTACGATCATATCTTTTAAATAATTATTATATGTGATAGGTGGGTGTGTTAGTAAAAAGGAAGATGAAAGGGTGGTAGAAATTGCCAGAGTCTTGGTGTATTAGCACAGGAATTGGGTTGCAAAGATTTCCCAAGGGTAAGATAGCAATAAATCAGTTTCACTGGACCTTCACATGTGATCCTGGTCTTTTGTGCCTGACAACAGCCTTTCGGTCGTCACTTGATTCTCTAGACCAGTGGTTCTTAACCTGGGCGATATTGCCCCCCAGGGGGCGATTTTGTTTTTCAGGGGGGCGATGGAATGAAAAGGGGCGACGTGGGGGCAAAGGAACGAAAACGGGGCGATATGGGGGCGATGGAGCGAGAAGTTTTGGGGACACTTTTGAGACTTTATCGTACAGTGAATCACTGTATATCAGATCGCTCGCTATTAGTGGATTGAATTGTGTTTTTCTTTTTGGGCATTTCACTTTCTTACAATTGAATTTTGTTTTCAGTGGTGATTATATTTAAGTGTCTTGAATAAATAAGATAATAATGAAATACATGTATCACGAAGTTTGGGAATAAAGTGCCGGGTGGCACCAAAATTTTTCACACAGTTGAGATATGGGAAAAAGATGGAAATAAACTATTTGCATCGATATGTCCTGATGACAATTTTAAAGAAAACAAAAAAAAGTGTTTGCATAAATTGAAGAATTATTTCCTATGTTGTGATTGAGAGGTTATGTTGGGGGAGGGGGGCGATGACAACTTATTCATTGGCTCAAGGGGGCGATTTGTTCAAAAAGGTTAAGAACCACTGCTCTAGACTGTGTTGTCTTCCAATTCTTTAATCGAAGTCTGCACATCATTACAGTGAAAGTTGTTGAAGTCCAATGCAATTGGATAACAGTGAGTTTTGGGAAACTTTCGGAAAACCTAATGTTTCTGAAGTCTGAATAATTAGTATTTTAACACCCAAAGTTTACATTTGGGAGATTGTAAATAGCATATATAACTTTAGGATTTCTGACCTTTAACCTTTTGAGCTTCATCTTGAATCTGGTGTTGCCAAATGTATAAAAAAGCAGCAGCCTAATTTTGTATTTGCATATTGTTAATGGGTATCTATCCTACCCAGGCAGCTAAATTCCAAAACATGTTGCTGGTTGATAAAGGTTGTCATCCAAACAGGAAGAGATAAGGATATTTTCCAACTCTGGAATGCCTTGAGCAATAAGAAATATAATTCAATCACAGCACCTACTATCTCCAGAAGGTTCCTTAAAGTCTTCTAAGTTTCATTTAAGCCTACTTTAGCCAGCTTCTTTTCCTTTATTAATATCTTATCTGCACATTGCTTATTTGGTGTATTACTACAATGCATATTTGATAGGATATGGGGAACAATGTGTTGACTAATAAAGAATATTTGTAACTCAGGGTTGAAATGAGGGGCCCGTGGTGCTCTCTGAACTTGCTTGTTTTCTTGCAGACGTTTCATTACAGCACTGATGATGTTACCTAGTTTGAATAATGAAACGTCTGCAAGAAAACAACCAAGTTCAGAGAGCACCAAGGACCCCTCAATGTATTGACTTTCAGATCGGTTTCTAGATTAGTTATTATGGTTTGCATAGAACAGCATTAGAAAGCTTGAAATCAAACTGGACTTTGGTTATACTTAAGGTGACCAACCGTCCTCCTTTAGGGAGGACAGTCCTCCTTTTGTAAGTTCTGTCCTCCCTCGAAAAGTGTCCTCCTTCATGTCCTCCTTTTCGATATTTGAAGACTAATCTGCAGGGCTTTTTTTTCCCTCAGAGAATGCTCAGAACGGCATTCCAGCACCTTTTTTTTAAGTTTTTTTTTTCAACTTTTGCATGAGCTGTGCTACTCCCACTATTGGCTTTCAAAAGCCAATAGGAATTGCTGCTGAGTGTGCCAAAACACCTGGCTGGCAAACTTTGCACATGCAAGTTGTCTGTATTATTGTTGCAATGAATAAAATGTTTCTTTTATTTACAATATTTTTTCTTCAATTTATTTGTGTCCTCCTTTTCATTGTAAAAAAGTTGGTCACCTTATTATACTTGTAGAATTATTGGCCAGAATGTGCCAAACCTTCCATTAGCAAGAATGGCTGCTTGTGACAAAGGTATAGTTAAGGCTAATAATTTAGTCAACATCCTATCTTACTAAAAACTGTTATTTGAAAGCCTTGGTTGGCCAAATACATGATTGGTGGTGGAGGCTGTTATCTAAGGGCCTGTCTGATGAGGAAGATTGTGATGTGCAACGTAAGAATAGGAAATGATAAAAGAGCATAATTAAATAATTAAATACAAGGAAAATAGGTATGTTGTGTATTTGTGAAAGGAGGCAGAAGGAAGTGATATATTTTAATGACGTTGGTCCCAACTTCTGGAATGTAGTTGATGAACACACATAAGGAACATGTTGGTTTAATTATGCAATTATGTTGGTTTTATTCTGAAACGTATGTAAGAAAACATGATATGTTAGCATCTAGATTATTGTGGCTGTGGAATAAAGGACCTTTATAAGTTGGTAATAGTTGTTGTGGTACACTTGTACAAACACCAGTCTCCTTGAGAACAAGCTTCATTAGCAGTGAATTAGTATTTTTAAACTTGGTGCCTGCTGAGCTTACAGTGAATAATGATAATGGAAGAAGCAGGGATGAGTTTTGGGGGAAATTGTGCAACATTCTGAGTGAACGCAATCAAGAATGTGGAATTCTTATATCCTATCTATAAGAATAAAAACATGAGAATATGAGGAAAAAGTTGGATCATTCATGGATCCAGGAATAAAAATCATTATTTGGTGTGAATATCTGCTCAGAAAAGATTATATTTATTTTTAATTAATGGATTAAAAATAACTCACCTCACATGGTCAAGAAGTGAATCTAAAACTATGAATGATCTGATAGATTATGATAAAAGACTAGGAGAATTAGCTAAGGATACTAGAGCAATGAGAAATTCTGAACATGGGACATATTTTTGACAGTATCAAGAGTAATTACCGGTATTAAGGGAAAAATGGACATGAAACAGAAAATAAAAGGAACTAGAATAAAAAGTATAGTGATTTTACAAAGAGAAATGTCCTGCATTAAAGAGTTTTAGAAGATAGATTTATCTTTTAGCAGAATGAAAAAAAACAGCATAAAGAATGAACATATGGAAACTTTCTGGAACAGAGTGAACAAAAATACTGAAGTGTGTTAAATGACACTATTAGAAAGAATGACAACCTTGATGGAATGAATTGCTAAAAGAGAAGACTGCATAGGAGAATGATAGCCATAACAAATGAAGGAAAGTTGAAGGAAATATATAACACATATATTGTGGAAAAGATATCTGGAAAGAACATAGAGCAAGGAATGGGTTGAGATTCAAAGGAACAGAGAAAATGTAGACTGGCTTTGATTGGTATTTTTAAAAATGCAAGTGAAGTAAATGGAATTAAAATTAAAAACAATGAAAGAGGCGAATGACTGCTATGGGAAGTGAAGCTTTGGATGGATGGGTGGATGGGTGTATAGAGATAGATAATTTGTAGTTTTGTAGATTGAGTGCAACTTAATCCTATATTTTCTTCCACAGAAATAGCTATCAGTTGCAAAGGGACTTCACTCTCATGTGGCCTTTGCAGGGTACTCTACTGTATGATTTTTTTCAGTACCTCCGTGTATTTTTTTTTTTTTCCTAAATTCCTACGTTACTAGCCAAAGCTGGCAAAGGCCGGATTGTTACTCTTCTTTTATTAGAGCTCGACTACTTTCCGCTTGGATGTTATGTGCTTTGGCAGGGCAGGCAGCCGTCTCTGACCTCATCTCAGGAGGCGCGTGCCGTGACGGGAGCAGGAGCGAAAAGAGGCGTGAGTGCGGGGAGGGCGAGCTCTGACGCGATCGGCTTCACGTGAGCTCTCTGGGGGACGCGAACTTTCGTGCGTAACCGGGAGAACCAGCAGCAAAGGCGCTGCGATTCCCGCAAGCCACCGAAGGCGGCGCGTGAGCTGGAGCTGAAGAAGAAGAAGAAGAAAAACCCTGGTCTGTACCACTTTGAAGGAAAAGCCGGAGTGGAGGGAGGGAAGCAAAGAGACACCTAAGCCGGAGGATTGGCGGTTTCTCGGGAGTTTCCAGGCAGAGGCGGGCAAGAAGCAGAGGCTGCAACGGCTTGGACGCTCGGTGAGTGTTGCTGCCGCCTTTCCTCCCTCCCCTTTCTCGTTTGCTCGTTGATGCAGATGGGCTGTCTGGGCAGGCTCGGCGTTGTGCAGATCCCTCGTTCGGCGCAAGGACGGGTGGCCGAGCGCCCGAAATTTTTCCGCCGATCCGTTCTACGGTAGTCGTGGTTTGCAAGAGCCGCGGGGTTGGTTGCAGCCCTTTCCTGTGCCCGTTGCAGCGCGTTAACTTGCAAGTCGGCGGAGCTCACCCGCCCACATTTCTCCCTCGCGTCCTTCCCTCCTGCAGACTTGCAGAATGAAGCAGCCGGATTAAAGGCTGGTGCCTACGGATGAACTGCCCTGTTAATCCCGAACGGCGTGAGGAAGGGTGTATTCTATCGGAACTCCGCCGGAGAGATCCCCTCCTCCCACCGTATCTGTTGCATCATGCCCATCCTTGCCCTGGAGGCCGGCAGGGTCTCTGTCCTTACTACATCCTCACTTCCTTTCAGCAAATGCGCGGCTTCCTTGGAGAAACTGGAAAGTTTGAATGAGGCTCGGCTTTGTCCCCTAATCGTAGGAAGCCGGGAGTTTCCTTGGCTTCTCAAGAATATTATCCTGCTGTTGCTGCTGCTATTCTTCCAGTCTTCTCTCAGCTGGTGACCTCCCACTTAATTGCTCTGCCACCCTCATCATTCCCAACCAGAAAGGGAATAGTAAGAGTTGGACTATAGTTGGCAGCATATTTGAAGGGTTGCTTCCCATGCCAATTTATATTTGTGGCTGTATCAGGTTTTTTTTATGCTTTTCTTTGGGAGATGTGGACAGGAAACAACATCAAAAAGGTTTTGATGGTAAAGGAGGAGGAGATCCAGGAAACATGGATGCTGAAGTGGGTATGGGGTATAAAAACCCTGCCAGTTTCTGCTGCTTCATCCTGCAGGGTTTGAAAGTCTGATTGGAGCTATATCCAAAGTTCAGTGGACTTAACCGCCAAAGGAACATGCCTGAGCTGTCCTGTGATTTTTCAGAGTTAGGTGTTTAGTTATCCAGTCACAATCTAAAATGTGTTATATTCCCTTTGATAGCATGATTCTTGCTTCCCCATGTTTAACATTTGAGGGGCGGAGTTTAGTTTAAATATGCATTCATTAATCCTAAAACCTTTAGTGATGGAGAAAAGATAACTGAATTTAAGCTCATTAAAAAAATTGGATATTTCTTTACCAAACTTTTTTTTGTTAAAATACACCTGTAGACATCATACTACAGAATTCAGGATATTTGAAACTGCCTGGATGACACCTTTAAGAGGCAGCACACTTTAAAATATAGGACTCCTGTGTTTTCTATAGTGAAGCTTTGCCAAAACAGACCAGGTAAAAAGTTTGCAATGTGTCCTTTTTACAGAAGTAATATATCCTTTAATCTTCTCCCCTTTGATGTAGTCTCTATTTTGGAAGAAAACATAATACATTCTCTCTCCCCCCCCCTTCTCACATTAACATGGAAACTACAGCCTTTCCTGGTCTGATAAAACAGCTTGCTTATTCATGTTATGTCTTCATATTAGAAACAGTAAGATATATAGGCAGTACATAGTGTAAGCGTAGTCAGTGAGCAGATTAGTTTGGCAAGTTTGCTCATACACATTTAGATTTAGTACTCACTTAGCTTTCTTTCCATTTAACTTTCTCTTTAGAGAACAGACTTAGATATTGTCCCTGATTACATTATCAGAATCAAAAGGATGTGAATTGGGAACTTATTAAATCACAGTCCAGTACATCTGGAGGATGCAAGACTGGAGAATGGCTATAAGATTGGCTTGGCTAGTTGAACTTTAGTGTCCAATGTATAGATTATTCTGATCTTAATAGTGCATCATGGCTTCAATAGATGGCAGGCTCTAGTTCAGGGGCCCCCAACCCGCAGTTTGTGGACCGGCACCGGTCCCTAGCATGCCAGAAACCAGGTTGTGCAAACAAGCGAAGTCCCATCCATGGGATGCAGGCAGCAAGTGAAACCTCACTCTCTGGTCCACGGGAAAACCTCTGTTAATGGAACTGGTCCCTGGTGCCCAAAAGGTTTGGGACCACTGCTGTATTTGATCTTCACAGATCAATTCCTGGTTTGTACTTGGATGGAAGCATGGGGTGTATATTGTAACTTTTATAAAACTTTTCAATAAAAAAAAAATCCATGTAAGGCACCCTTAGTTGAACTTGTTTCAAAGGCTCCATGCTTTTTAGTCCATCTTGGAGACTGAGTGTTCTGAAGACCCTTATATGAAATTAGCACATTTTTTTTGTTTTATTTGTTGGGTTCCTAACTAATACATGTGCTTAGTCAAAGGGTCAGTTTGGGCATTTTGCTCCTCTGCACTTTCTCTTCCTCTTTTATTGGTGTTGCCGGGTGTCTGTTCAGATGTGTAGCCTTCCCTTGAACAACTGCTCTTTGCTTATTGTGATATCTACTGGTTTAAGATCTAGCACAAAATGTTGGCAGCCAACTACATGGCAGCTGTTCAGCCATGAGGTAGTGGTGAATTTTGGAGAAGATGGCAGGTTAGTACTATTAGTTAATACTCTTTGAACAAGGTTTATTCAAGGCTATCTGACATCTCTGGAGTGATGAAATATACATAAAGTTCTTGATTTCTCTCAGTGAACAATCAGATAATAACTTGATTTTTCTAGCTTAATGCTTTTCCTTTCCAGTTTATTTTGGTTTGGTAAGCAAAGCACACAGCAAGTTTCTAATAGCATTGTTCAAAAGGAGAAAATAATGGTATCTGCCACGTTACGAGGACATTCACCCCTAAAAGAAAACAAACAAAAAATCCCTTTCTAGCAACCCAGCAAGCTAAATTAGACTCAAGTAATGATCGATTTGTCATTGATCAGACTATCAGCAATTTGAAATCAGATGTCTCTACTTCGTCTCCATTGGCCCGTATTCTTCAGTTATAAGAGTCTTCTTTTGATTGTGGAGCCACTTCTTTGTTCTTATTTCCAGAGTTCAAATTGAGCAATTCTGTCTTCTCTGTGATTGCTGTTTGACTATCATCTACTTATCAACCAATAAAAGAATCACCCTACAATATAGTCTACAATCTGAAAAATTCTACCTGAACAGGTAGAATTAACAGAGGAGCCTTCCTATATAATCCTATCTATACAAAGAGAAAAGGGATGAAAACTAGATGGAATCTTTACAATTCCATCTGGTTTATTAGTTTAACAGATAATTTGCTGATTTGCTGAATAAACAAAGGACATCCTGAAGTACTCTTTCTGAATGTGTGGAGCTACAACCTGTCTCCTCAAAAAGACTAGTTTTTAATCATTCCCCGCTTTCTACAGTATTGGGAGGAAGGCTCAAAGAAGTAAAAGATAACAAGAACAACACAACCAATAAGAAAAAGTAAATACTGAAATATAAATCCAAAAGATTCTCAAACCACCCTCCCTGCAATGAATGCATATTTGAAACAGGTAACTTTTTTTTATTAATTTTTTTTATTTTTTTTTTCCATTTATAAATCATACAAAATACAATTTTAAAATAAAATAAATTCATAACCATTGGTACCACCTGCCCATTCCCCCCAGGCCGCGTCCACCCTCTCTAAAACCTTCCCTACTTCCCTCCTCTCTCTCTCCTCCCTTCCTACTCTCTTCCCCTCCCCCTCTCCTTTTGCCGTCCTACTTCCTCCCTACACTTTCTTCTCCTCTCATCCCTCTCAAACACATGAACGCAGCATAGGGGAAATGCCCAGGCCGCACCTTTCTTATAAATTACCTTATCTATATTATCCTTACCCACCCACACTTCCACCACCCCCCTCAACCCCCCTCCCCTCACTTCCCAGAGCAGAAACAGGTAACGTATTGAAGGAAGTAATTAGTAATTAGTTTAGCTAGGCCAGGGGTAGGCAACCTTGGCTCTTTTATGACTCATGGACTTCCATGAGTCATAAAAGAGCCGAGGTTGCCTACCCCTGAACTAGGCTGATTGTATTGTTTTTCCTGAATTGCAACTGATAGTATATGAACATCATAAGTAGGCCCAGTTATCCGAGGAGCCACCCATCCCCAATTACATCCACCCAGGCATAGGATATGTTTCAGGTGCCACCTGCCAAGGACTTACACTTGGCTGGTCTAGGAGGCAGGCCTTCTCTGCCGCAGCCCGAGCTTTATGGTACAATGTTCCCCCCCCCCAAGTGAGGTTAGCTTCCTCCTTGTTATTGTTCCATAAATCCCTCAACTGATGTGACCTAGCGAATAAAGGAATTGGATTTCAGAATATGCCCAGATGTATGATTTATTCAAGAATCTAATCAATTTCTCATGCAACTGCATAACTGAGATGTTTTTAAAATGTTATGACTGTCTCCAGACAAGCTTATAGAACACAGACATACATGCACAGCATGATTCTAAAGCAGTTTTTCATGATGGCTGAAGAATTCTGGGTATTGAAATCCACACATCTTGAAGTGGCCAAAGTTGGGAAACACTGTTCTAAAGGTTACAACACAGTATTTAATGTTTGATGGGATAGTTGTTAATTTACTGACTTAGGCTAAGATTCATTTGGTATTTCAGAAAGCAAGGTTCACATTTGTGCATTCAATTGATTTTCTATTTTGAGGTGTTGTGCTTGCTAGAGGAAAAAATGGTTTTCTAAACCTCTAAAAGTTAGATAATGCAGAAGTAATGTGTTCTGCCTAAATCGTGTTGGTTTCCACTATATACTCTGGTTTTGCTGAGTGTTGCACAATGTTTCATTTTCAAGTACACCAAGCAGAGGGAGTACATATGAGCAGAAAAGGAAAGCTAATAACTAAGAAAACAAAATCACAAATGCAGAGAACAAATTAAGTTTGTTACCATGCATACATTGCATGGCAGAACTGTTAAATATTTATTAAAAATCAAATAAAATGCCTCAGATATTAATAGAAAAAAGCTGCAAGGAGCACTCATGTTAAAAATATTTGTTGGGAGCTAGTATTAACTGCAGCATATGACTAGGTTCACACAGCAGATTCAGCCATGGCTTGCTTAATCCTGATTTGTTTGTTATGCTATTTGGTAGTCAATTCCAAACAAGCCAAAAAATGTACACCTTGAAAAGGACAAGCTGAAGTTCTGAGAGCATAGAAAGGTGTTTATGGGGTTTTAGATTAGGGAATCTGAATAAAAAACTAGCAGGGCTAGATTTAAAGCTTGTGCTTTGGTCTCTATGTTATTCTTTATATATTTCTAAGGGGAATTTTATGAGAAAGTTTCCATATTGCACCATCACACGTCTTCAGAAATAACATTGCTTATTCTCTAACTTTTTCGATTCTCTTGATTGCACGAATAGAATCTTCCTTTTGGATTGTACTCCATATAACCAGATAAAGTATTTTTAAATATTAAGTGAAAATAATAGACCATGAAGGAGGCCACTAAACCTCATAAGGAAACTGCAGGTAGGTATACTGAGGGAGTGTCGATGGTTTTGAGGGAGGCTGAGCAGCTGCTGTAAATACTGTTATGTTTTACTATCATACCACATTTTTTTCTCCAATAGAAAATGTTGGTTCTTAGATCTCTAATGTCTAATACTTCCTTTTTTATGTTGCACTGTTAAGATCTGTTTGAGAAGGAGGAAATACTTTAGGTTTCTTGACTATTTTGTATTAGCATTTTGCTTTCTTTGTACTACAGGAAGTACCGTTTCAGTGGCATATATGGGTGGGCCAACCAAGCCATTTATTTTCTTGAAACCTTTATTTTGTAGTCTTAATACTTGAACGGTTCCACTGTGCTTATTCTTAGAAACTGATCTCCACCTCCATTGTGAACAAAGGAGCCTGTGTTTATACAAATTGATGAGTGTGGTTTCATCTCAGAGTTTGCCCTTACATCCAGTACACTGTAGTGATGCATTAAGAGTGACTATATGAGAATCAGATTATTTAAGGATTTGTATAGCCACCCCTATTACAAACCACAGCCCTGGATGACTCACAAACAGTTAACAAACAACCACAATAAAAACTCCAGGGCCCTTGGGGCAATAATCTTCCACACATCAGCATGCCACCTTGTTGAATTCCTTTTGCCCCAATGCTTATGGGCAAAACCAGCTCTTCAAGGCCTGATAAAGATACAAAAATATGAAAGAATGGAGAGGGTGACAGACAAAAGGGAAAAAGAAGAATCACTGCTGCAATTAAGTCCATCCTCTTTTTTCTTCTTCTCTTTCCTTCCAGTTTTTCCCACTTTGGCCCACCAGTTGGTCTCTTAAAACATTGTGTCCCAGCTATCCAGGAAGAAATGAAGGGAAGAATGTCTTTCCCCAGCCACCGTTGTCTGATTGGGAGAATAGTAGAAAGTCAGCAAGGTGTTTAAGATAAGATAAGATAAGATAAGATAACCTTTATTGTCATTTTTATACTATGGGCACAATGGCTCACATCAAAAATGAAATTTCTCAAAGTGAAAAATATACATGACACACACCTAAACATACTATGAACAACATACGTATAGACCCACATCCCTACATATACGTAGCAAATAAATATTAAATATTGTCCATCTTGAATATATAACGGAAGGAGGAAGCTTGAGAGTTCGCAAGGTTAATGCTGTATGGAATGACTGGAATTTTTTGGGAATGACTTAGAACAAGAAGAATGGCATGTTTTTTTGAGTATGTGTGAGAGAAAGCGTGTATGTGTGTTCAGTAGTAGTGATGCAGAGAGACAGATATTGAAGGTATATGAGAGAGTATGTTGAGGTTAATGGATCTTATGGGCTGGGAGTATGGGTTGTAAAAGTGTTGGAACTTGAGAATATAGGATGAGAGTTGGAAAAATGTCTTTAAAAAGGGTAAGAACTGGGCTTCCAAAGAGCAGCTTTGTGTTTTGGAATTCAACACCATCTCTCTATCTTATGTGTCAATTCTTGGGCAAGTTACTAGTTTTACAGCTTTCAGACTGCTGCATCCTCCACAAAAGCTGGTTTGGACAGGATCTGTATCAAATGTATGAATTGCCCATTGATTCAAAAAGAAAGAGAGACAAAGATGGTTGCATAGTACATGCAGAGATGAGTGTGTATGGTACATGGATTGGGTTTAGCTGCAGGATAATGTATTTTCCCCCCCTTTGCTCTGTTCAGCACCTTCTATTCTGTAAAGGTTTTGGTCATATAAAAAGAAACTGAACTATGATCAAGGTATATAGTCAGAAATGTTGTCTATGAAAGCAAGGCTAATTCTGTTCTTTGGGCAGGTTTTTCAGAGAAAATTATAATAATCTCAAAGATGTATTTGTATGTGACATATGTGAGTGCAGCAGCTAGAATTATCAGCAACAGAATGTTTGGGGGAGGCAGCAGATAATTTGCCAGAAGAAAGAATATGAATAACAGAATAACAGAAAAACACAGTTGGAAGGGACCATGGAGGTCTTCTAGTCCAACCCCCTGCTCAAGAAGGAAACCCTATACCATTTTAGACAAATGGTTGTCCAATCTCTTCTTTAAAATCTCTAGTGTTGGAGTACCCACAACTTCTGGAGGCAAGGGGTTTCACTAATTAATTGTTATAACTGTCAGGAAATTTTTCCTTAGTTCTAGGTTGCTTCTCTCCTTGATTAGTTTCCATCCATTGCTTCTTGTTCTGCCTTCTGGTGTTTTGGAGAATAGGTTGACATCCTCTTCTCTGTGGCAGCAGAGCTGTGGAATTCTGGGAGTTGAAGTCCACATGCCTTAAAGTTGTCAAGGTTGAGAAACACTGGTTTACAAACTCCAACATTGCCAAGTAGCATGACCATTGGTTATGTGGGCTAGGACCATGTAATTTGCTGTCTGTCATGCCCAATATAGCTAAGGAGAGCAAGGTTTCAAGAAGCTACATGTAATGCAGCTCTAGGATAAATACAGAATCTTGGGAACTCTAAGAGAAATTTCACACCCTCAGCTGTAATGAGTTTATTAAGGTGAAGTCTCCAAATTTCCTTTCAGATTTCTTGCCATGTGAGTTGAGATGGTATTCATGAGATAAACTGCTAGCTGACTCATATGGCTTATAGCTATTCTCCCTTCTATTCCTTTTTTAGCTTTCACTCAATCTGTCCCATTGTTCAGGATAGCAAACTGAGAAGGGCTGTTTCAAAATGCTTAGTTTGTTATATCTCAACATGATTCTTCTCTAGTAGACTTCCCAAAGTATTCCATGCCTATGAAATAAAATTACATGTTTGTCATCCTAAAATTGAGTAGATAAATCATATTGCTGGGAAGTAGTAAACTAATAGATGACCATTTAGAACTCAGGAACTAGAGCTAGAGATGATTCTGAAAGAAAGGAGTTCAAAGGAGGCAGGTTTAAGGCTACTTCCATTTCCTCACTTTTAAGCAAGCTCTGATCTCTACTATTTATGCTTCTAAATATTTTCATATTTCAGGGATCATACTGAAGCTCCAAT